ACATCTGAAATATAAAATATATATTGCAAATAAATAGATACATCCTGTGACAAAAGCCAAGAGCATATAAAAAAAGTTTTTATTGTTATTTAAATCAAAATCGATCAAAACGCAATATAACTTATCTTCCATTTCATCAAGCCATGAATATGGGACCAAATCAATTTCATTGTAACCAGGACCCCGCCTAGGTAAAATCACACAACTGCATATTCACTTGGCCCTTCCTCATTGGAAATGTTAGCACTCATCTAATATTCAAAAAATTAATGTTTATATAAATACAATACAATGAATTAATAAAATTTTGAAGATTTTTAAGTTGTTAAAAAGAAAATACTTACGTTGAACGCTTATTTTATAGATCCTACGATTGTTTTACGTGCTTCTTTCGGTCACGTGCTACACTTGACTGAAAGTTCTCAACAAAAGTAAAGCATACGCGCACACATTACAGTCACAATTAACTTCTTACTCACGCACACACGATAGTGTCGCACTTAAAAGTCAATATGTACAATATATACACGCAGTTAGTCAGTCGACTCGAGTTTGCTATGAACGTACGCACACAACCAAGTATATACACGTATACATATATTTATTGCACTAATAGAAAAGACCGACTGTTCACGCGGGTACACACACTAATGCTTCATCCACAATCTATATATACTTAGATATAGATCCTTTTCTTATTTTTTTTCTCCCCTACAGACATCCCTTTGACAGTGCATCTTTCGCACGCATAAAATGTACCTGCTGCTTTGCAGCATTTAATGTATGACCTTGCTTGCGAGTCGGCTACTTCGGAAATATATTCTTTTACGTTTGCAGGTTTTGAATCACCGCAGTATATGGAAGCTATGAACGGATGACTAATATAATTTCTATTAAAAAATTTAATTGTAATAGGCCAAACTTGTAGATTCGAATTTTCATAAATTTGCAAACCGTCAATGTGAATAAGCACTTCAACTGTATTTTCAGAAAATATACGCGGTGAAATAATTTTTTTTAATCCACTTGCTACACCAAGATATTTATAATAACTTTCAGTTTCTTTTAGACTTGTTATAGTTTCTACCACTTGATGATGTTTAGTTTGGAGTAATGCCTGTAATTCGGAAATTACATTTAATTGAAGGCTATCCAGATTCTTTAAAGCCCACTGACGAAGCTCTTTTCTTATTGTGTCTGATTCCACTACGTTCTCCTCGGCAATACTTTCATGATTACTATAAACATTATCAGTATCTGTTTCATTAGAAACAATAACCTCACTTTCTGCCAAGTATCTACGCTGATTGTCATCATCAATACAGCCACTAAAACTGTTCTCATTATCACTTTCATTACCACTAATAAATGCACTATAATTAATTTCTTCATTTACTTGATTATTTACACTTAATTCAGTTTCACTAAATTCACTATTTGAATTATTATGATCTCGATCAATTTTATTATGAATAGAAACAGTTACGAAGAGGGTGTATCAGATAGGGATATAATATCCATGTACTTTTTTAATGCCCGATGTTTTTTTACACGATCGGACATTATTTCAGAAATTGAAAAATAATATTTAATAGGAACGATAAATTTTTTTTCTACTGCATACGACTGTGAATACTCTCCTATGAAAAGTATATATTGCAGGTAAATAATGCTTAAAAACAGCTGATATGACATTTAGTGCGCATACGCCTAAAGGAAAAATTTATCATATCATCGACCGAGAAGCGATGATCGTACATTATTATTATCAATATAGTTCGGCGGCCCGATGGTGTGCCAGCCATAGGCTGATAATCAGACACCGACGCTCGGCCGAGATTGGTAGCCGAGCCTCGGTCGATCGTTGATTTTTTTCGAGCATCGGGGACTTCGTATGGGATTTCAAATATAAATTTCGTATTTTCGTAACAGCTCCAGTTTTTTAGTTTTCGGTAACTAACATTAGTCATTGCGGCTTTGATAATCGCAATTTAACGAATAACTAAGAGTTTTGTATGCGTTTTTGATATAGCTCCGACCAAATATGTTGTGTGCATGATTTAAAAACTTTTTTTTGATACATATGTTGTGAATATATTTTTGACAAACACCGAAAACCTATATCGAACTACGTATAAGACATCGTATATCGACCATATTAAAATTAAATTCGAGCAATCAAGGTGAAATATGTGTTCTTAATACTATGTGCCAAAATTGCGTAGTGTGTTTAATTGAGTGTCCCAAAGAAACAAGTAATGCTATAAATTTGAAATCATAAAATCACCACAACCTATTATTCAATGTAGTAAATATTAATGGAATAAATTCAGACAATAGAAGTAAATGACCATACCTTATAATCTCAATGTTTTTGATCATCCGTACTAAGCAAGATCAATCTAGAACATCAAAATTTTTTACCTTCCATGTAATGGAATAAAAGACCACCAAAAAAAGAAAAGACAAGAAGAGTTATAACTTATATATTCGATGATCCCTATAGCTGTTACTAAAGTTCCACTTTTTCCGGAATCAGCGTTCACGAATTACTTGAAAACCATCTCAGGATTTTTTTTTACTGTCATGATGGGATTATGCTTTAATAATAATTTAAGATATTTTTGAAACAAACAGTTAAGTAATACATTTGTAATTAAATTTTAATATTATACTTTGTGGACCAAATCTCTGGTTTTACAGTTTGGATATTAGCTTTATTTTTCCACATTTTTATTTCTTTTTCAAGTTGACTACTATCTGCATTTTTCTATCTTGTCATTCAGTCCTTCTATTTCTGTTTCGATGATATTGTGCAAATGTCATTTTTTCAGGTTTTCTTGCTATTCATTTCACAATCATATGCGTTTCTAAGATTTTTTTCTCTTAGGCACTTTGAAGTTTTTTTATTTTATTTTCTATTTTCTCCAACATTGAATTCTTTAAAATCCATCTTTTTATCCGTACTGAGCCGTCCAAATTTACATACCTTATCTTTCTTCTTGCACAAAACTAGAATCAGTTTGTTCGTCACTAGCGTTTTGTAACTCTTTTTCCTCATTTTTGCAGTATCCTACCTTATATATAGTTATATCTTTTTATGTTTGTGATGTTAAGTAATCAGAACTATTATATGTTTTATAAGCTGCATCAAGCACTGCTTATTACTAATAACAAAGTTGTTATTAGGAAATCTATTGATTGTCTTTACTCTACCAAGGACGTCTTTCTAATTTGGACTCTTTGAAATCAGGCTGCGCGAAGTGAATGTCAAACCAGGAACTTCTGATATCCCGACGGTTTAACTAACTGTTTACCTCTCCCATATAGTTATAGTTGTAACTAAACTTTATGTTTTAATTGGGTATATTCGATTTGTTACAATTAGACTTGGGTTTTGAAAAGATTTATTTATATTTCAGAGTAATTTTAGCAAGGTCTAGCTAGCTAGACTATTAAGCGTTTATTTCTTAAGTTTTTCAATATGACAACTATGTTTGCTCGCTTATTCGCTACTCTAATCTTGTTCAAGATTAATAATTAATTTTAATACATACTAATTTATACTTACTGAGGTTTTCGTAAGTAAAACTCTCTCTTAGATCTATTCTGTTTTTTTGCACAATTTCACATGGGCACAAGTTTAAATTAAAGGTTTAGTATAATTGTGGATGTTAATATATTAGGTTATAAAAAAAATATGAACTACTAATAATTATATTAGTTATTAACTTCCCGAAGGAGAAGTTTATGTTTTCATCAAAAAATCCGATTCGCTAATTTTATGTTTTCTTGACGTTTCAAGCTATTCTGAATCGATCGAATTCTGTGTGTGCGTGTGCACCAACAGATTTTTTGCCGTAAATAGCCGTTTTCTCAAAAAGGGCTGGATCGATTTCAAAAATTTAAAAGGCAATTGATGTATCTCGACGAGGACTATCGTTTATCAATTTTGTGTGAGGATCGGCCGAGACGTTTCTCTATAAATAGCAGAAAAGTGAAAAATTTAAAGTCCACGTTTTAGCCTACAATTCTGAATCGATTATGAAAATTCAAAAACCTTTCGAAAGATATTGGTTGGGAATTGTGCTGATTAGTTTTTGGTAAAAGTCGGGCGGGCCGTTTTCTTTTAATAGTGTTAAAAAAATTTATTCACGATTTTTATTAATTTTTTTTGACGGTAGATACCATAGTCTTCTAGATCATACTAAAATATTACGGCTTTACGACAATTGGTTTAACTTTAAAAATTCGTCAAAGTTTGCAAAAATTGGTATCGTTTTTTGGCATTTGTCAAAATTAGACCTTTCATCGACGTTTTCTCAAACACGCCTGAACTGATTTCCGAAAATTAAAAGCCATTTGATGTATCTCGATGAGAACTATCGTTTGTCAGTTTTGTGCGACGATCTGCCAAGCCGTTTCTTTGTAATTTGAAAAAAAAGTGTTAAACTTTTCGTCCACATTTAACCTCAAACTACCGAACCGATTTTAAAAAATCAAAAACTGTTCGAAAGATATTAGTTGGGAATGATACTGATTAGTTTTAGGTTAAAATCTACTGAACCGTTTTCTTATAATTAACAGATGAAAAAAAAAATTGAAGCCGATTTTTATGTAACTTTTTTTGGCGATATATATCATGGTCTTATGGAACTTACTGAAATACTGCGGCCTTACGACAAGTAATTTAATTTTAAAAATGCATCAACGTTTGAGAAAATGAGTAGTTTTTTTGACGTTTGTTAAAATTAAAATTAGACAATTTACTTGGTATAACGATAGAGTACTTGGTCTTAATGAACATACTAAACTGAACCAATAAAGTCCTATGGAAACTAGTTCAATCATAAAAATTATTGATTTTTAAAAATTTGCTTTTAGAAAATACTCCAAGTTAACGGGTTTGTTCGTTTTCAATTAAGTGTTATAAATCCACTCGGAATACTTTGGCAAAATACCAATACCAACTAGTTTATTTTAATGTATTTGCAGGTGATCTGTTTGTGCTTGTATTTAGCATGGATAGTCGGGAGTCCTTCGAGGAGGTTATACGTCTTCGGGAGCAGATTCTTGAAACTAAACTAAGCGCTTGTACATCTGCCAACAGTGGACGTTCCAAGCGTAACATTCCTCGTGTTCCAATGGTTATAGCTGGCAATAAGTGCGACCGGGACATGAGGTAACATTATAAAAACAATAATTCAAATAGATCAGTTATAATAAATATTATAGACATTTTCATTATCATGAAATTCCTGATCCATTGCGTAATCCATACATCATTGCAGGATTTCAATTTTACTACCATCCTTGCGTGCTCTGGCGTAAAGTATTTCAATATTGTATGATATGCATTTTTACTATGGAATTTTTATTGCGCATATGAATGTCGCTGCGTTTCATATGGTATTATTAATAAAAAAAAACTTTGAATGAAGTGTATTTTTGAAGTTATTTTAATTGCGCTGAAACAGGTTCCGAGATAGATTTTAGACGATACGTTCTTGGCATATTAATAAAAAAATTTGTAAATCATATTGGTGGGGGTTAATATAACATTAGTACCTAGTTCACAGTTATTCCATCTATTATGTGCTTATGTTATGTTTTGCCACAGAACGTAATAATTTAAATAAATTTCCTAATAATATAAATAATTTTGCTGTAACGAAAAATATTTATAGGGTAGCGCGGGGATTAAACAACCGCGGATAAAATGGTTCTTATATCTCGAAAACCAGTACGATTAAAAATTGTTTAACAACGATATTTGAAAGTCGTGGGAAAGAATGTTTAACCAGCCATCATCTTGAATCCTATGCAGTTGCTATAGGGAAAGAACGTCAATGTATAAAAATCCATAACAAAAGTATTTTCTTTCTTTTTATCCATTTTGGTTGTGAGTTGTAAGCACTGTTGCTTAGTTTGCGAGACCTTAATATAATTTTTTAGTATACGTTATTCAATTGTTTTATAAGATAATAATTTTAGAATAAATTCAACAGTTTTTTAAATAACTTCTATATAAGCTTACACCTGGAGGAGGGGTGAAAAGGACCAACCGAACCTTTACCCTGGCAAAGATGTAAAAAATCAAAAATGGCGTATGAGAATCAAGGAGCCTGGGGGAATTTGATAAAAACAAATGGTCGTGAGATTTTGTAAAGTTTTATAATCAACATTTAATATATTTTTATAAACATGGTAATATCTTTTTATATATTTATTTATTTCCATAAGCAAATCAAATAAGGAATTAAACCTGTTTGCATGCTGAACGTTCAAATTTACCCTGCCTATGGACCTGGTTAACTTTTTTTAAAAAAAAAAAATAGCATAAAATACATTTTATGAATTAGCTGGGACTTATACTGAACGTAGCCAGATAAGTTTGATATGTGTAACTTGTTGTGATATTATTCGTATGGTTTTCACAATATAATTGCTGAAAGTAAAATTGGACCTTTGTGCACCGCCTTACCCTATTGTCCATAGTACTTCTCGAAGTACCATCAAAATATACCTTTAAAACATGAAAGTTTAAGATATTTAGATGATTTAGTATTCCAAATAATATTGAAACAATACTATTTGTAATATATCTGGTTTAAACTTGTTCGATCATAACTGATAATAAATAAACTTAACGCATATATTTTTTAAAAAAATATATAAAAATTATCTCATTGACATAAAATCCAAAAAATACTATATTTACATTTTAGGACATTAGATAATGTATCATGATTTTTCCAGAACTGTTACCCCTGAAGAAGCATCATCATATTGTTCTACACAAGACTCAGGTTGCGTGTTTGTTGAAACATCCGCCAAGAAGAATCTACACGTTGATGATTTATTTTACGAATTGTTTGTTGTGGCTAATCTTCCATTAGAAATGGCCCCCAACCATCATAAGCGTGTCAACACTGCGTTTGGAAGTCCGTGCACGCTGCCACCACATGTTCCAACTGGCAAATCTAAGAAGTGTACTTTAAGCATAAAGCGTCGGCTAAGCGACGCTTGCGGAGTAGTTGCCCCCAATGTTAGACGCCCCTCGATACGAACTGATCTGATGATCATGCGTACCAAGACTTGTTCTCTTGGAGATTCAGAAGGACCGAGTTCGGCGTCATCTGGATTTGGTCTGGGAAAGCTGCTGATACGATCAGGCACCAACAGCGATGGTCGGTGTACGATACAATAGACTGTCAATGTGGATCAATTACAAAATTTGCTTAAAGTGTTATATACTAGTATAATAAGCTAGTTTTGTAATAATAACTTTAATGTATCGTTACTAAAAATTTATATAAAAGACCATTTGTTGAATTCTATTAAATTTTTGTCATTTTTTAATGACCCATTTTTTGGGAAAAAACAAAAATAAAATGTTAAAGTTTTTATAAGCACTTGTTATATGCATAGTGTGTGTGAATAGAGAATAGAACATTTTAGTGTGCAACAGAAAATGGTCTAAGTTCTAGCATCGCAACTTATTGAAGTGATTTTTACTTGAACGCTCTATTTATTGTTTCATATAAAATGTGGGCTTTGGAAATGACAGTTCCGTCATCACATAGATCAAGAGCTACCGTTGAGAATTCAAGTTTACATAATAATGAAAAAAAACCTGTGTAACTTTTCTGACCAATTATTACAGATTGAAGTCTTTAGAGTAAAGCGTTTTAAAATTTATTTAGATTGAAACGCCCGCGCAATTATGCTTTTTACGTGCAACTTAAATTTTTTTGTATACAACGATACATCCACAGAATTACTTATAAGAATGTGCAAGGCTTTCTATCATGTAAATCTCAAAAATCTAAATAGCATTTTACGGTTTAGAAGGATTAAAGATTACAATTTTGATATTAAAATAAAAACTGATTTTCGATTAATTTATAATGAATCAAAAAATTATTCTATATTTCGAATAAGAAATAAACCATTTCCAGATGCCTAGTTTCTAAGGAATTATTGTTCAAATGTGTTCGATTTAATATATTTATTAAACCTATATTTGTTTTTTATTAACTTCCAGTAGGGAAAGTTATAGTAATGGGCCGAAAATCGAAAATGAATATTTTTGCTGTATGCGATACAGTTTTTTATTCACGTTTTCGGGCGTTTAATTGTTGGCAAAGGTGGATCGAGCCGTTTCGGAGATACGGAGCAAAGAGTGCAGAATATAGAAATGGAGTTTGTGAGAGAACGGAGTATCTGATTTGAATGATCGTAATGATAGGGAAAAATGGTGAATAGTATTCGGCGAGGGCAGCTCCAGCCATTTCGAAGATATAGAGCAAAATGTACAAAAAATAGCAGTTTTTATAGCAGAGAGAACTAAGCATCCGATTTGAATTATTCAAAAAACTTTCTGTTTATGTTGACAAAACAATTGCATTTGGATTATTTTATTTCAATGTTTTTTCGATTTTTTTGTGTAAATAATTCAGATTTTAAATTTAATTCTGGCCAAAGTTCTAAAGCTCACTTATATACTTCAAACAAGTAATATTAACTTCGTAATTTAGTTTATATAATTTTTATAAATTTTAGACAATGTTACAGTATTTATAATAATCTATTTGAAAACAATTATTGTTCCTCGAACATTTCGTTACGGTACGGGAAGTACCAGAAATTTGCTTTAAGACACGATGCCATACACCTAGTATGGCACTAGTTTTTATATGATTTCAAGAATTTAGCTGAGCTTTACTCGTATATGAATAAGTTATGATCTTAATATTTGTTGAGAAATTTGTAATTTCCTGTAGGGTTGTATATAATGTATGTATTCATAACAAAACACTATTCACATAAAGAATTCGCTTAACGAATAGAATTCCTTTCAGCACAATTGTTATTTACAATGTGTAACAATCGTATCACATTTATGTCTCAAAAATTTATTGTATTAAATAGCATTTTATACTAGCACTCAGAAATCTGAAAGCTAATATGAAATTATGATGATTTCGATAAACTATCGAATTTATTTTTTTTAAAAAAAAAGCCTTGCATATTAAAAGTTTTATATGATTGATTTCGATTTATTAACAAAGTTTATAATAATGGAAATTTAATGTTTTTTTACATAATCTTACGTTTCTAAGCCATATGAACATTTTGGCATACTTTAGAAAAAATGGATGTATGTGTATGTTTTTTTTTGTATAGCGAAGGAAATGCTTTTACGCATCCCAGACCGGTCTTCTGTCTGGGTATGTCGGACTCGATACCGCCCTGGTATAATACCGACTAAAACCTCCGCTTTGCCCTTGCCTCTGGTCCCCACGGAAACCGCCGTTAGGCATTACTTCGTGGGGGGAGGATCTAGAATGATATAAATTCTCAACTTGTTAAATCAATGATATAAATTCATAAATATTATACTTATCTTTTAAATAGGCGAAGTCCCATTCGCCCTTTCTCTCTCTATAGAACGCAGGTCCATTAAAACGTCTCTCGCAAATCTGTCTATGGCGTTCCAAGCAGCATCACTTGTCAGCATCACTTCAACAACATCACCTGGGGTAATTGTGCGTCTCAATGTCTCCTCCACATCATCCCGTAGAGCACCAAATCGCGGGCACACGAAGAACACGTGCTCAGCATCTTCGATTTCGCCCAAACAATATGGGCAATCCGGCGAGCTATCGTGGTTGAATCGGATTGCCCATATTGTTGTATGTGTATGTGCGCACGCTTGTGTGTGTGTGTTCAAAAAATTCAAATTTTTTAATTTTTTCGTTTATATAGAAAGACATGAATAATAGTCTATATTTTCAAATTGATATTTTGAAATCAATTAAAACTTGTATATCAACACAATGAGAAAAGTCTTTTTTTTTAAATTGATATTTTCTAATCGATAAAAACTTGTATAAAAACGCATGGATAATTTCAAATCGATTAAACCCAGTATAAAACACATAGATATTATCAAATATCAAATCGATTAAAACTTATAAAAAACACATGGATAGTCCATAGTTCAAATTGATTTTATCATATCGATTGGAACTTGTATGAAAATACTTGAATGGATAATAGTCCATGTTTTCAAGTAATAAAGAAAAACATTCTAACGTTTAGTATAGTAAGAATTTTACTATTAGATTATATGTTATGTATACTATAAAATTACCACTTGTCAAGTTCTGCCAGGTAGTGAAAAAATTAGTTTTCTAAATTGCGTGAAATAGAAAATAAAAGTTAGAACTTATTTATGTGAGAGGCTATTTTGCTTATTACAAAGAGATGGCTTGAACAATCTTCGCGCTAAACTAACACACGCTGGTCCTTACGATGTTGCAGCTAATGAGTTTTAAATTTTTGTACTCGGTCGGGCCGTTTTTGCAAAAAAATCGACAAAAGGTCAAAAATTAGCTCGCATACTTTTTACAAATTTGGTCTCATTCGAATTACATGAATCATCAAGAAAACATAAAATTAGCCAATAGGATTGTTTTACAAAAACAAACTTAATAATTTAATCCAAGGTAGTACTTGGAATCATTCCTTCAATCCTTCAAAGGTAATATAGACCAGTCATAAGTAGTATGTGAAGAACTAAAGTGTATTTAGTTCTGTCACAACTTTAATTCTTTGCTGACAATTATTTTTTTTATATTTATATTATGATTCTGGTGATATAAATATACTGAGAATCGTTCGCATGTATACTATAATTAAAAGGTAAATATGCAGGTACTGTAAAACAATATAATTTTAATTGTAAACTCTGTATTTAAATATGCATTTATGTACAATTTAAAAGCTTTTACAAAGCATTGTTAAATATATTAATAAGTACCTTATTATTGTCATTAGTAATTGCATAATTTTCAAATTTTCACTAAACTCATAATTCCTATATATAAATTAAATGCACGTGATAACATTACTTAATTCACTATCATTTTAAACATAAATACATTTATTACATATTGAAGCCAAACTTATATAAAAAATACAATTCACAAATTTGAAATTGGCAGTTGTGAATGTGGTTGCTAGAGAGCTCTTAAACCACACTTTCTTAATAATAATACTTTATCATACTCTATAATAGATTGAAATTTAATAAATAAATTATTTAATAGAACGCTATTATAATTAGGCTTTGGACATATTAACTGTATAGATCTACATTAATGTAAAACATTTCGATAAATATTCTAAATTTATTTCGATAATTATATGTTATTCGTTAAACGATTATGGCACTACAATTAATATGTGTCGATGTTCTTATAGTTTTAATTTTTCTTAAATAAATTTTGACTTTCAATAAATTAGTCACAGTCAACAATTATTAATATATACCTTAACTAGGTAACGACTATATAATATCATTAAAGGGCACTATCATCCAATATAGTACTGAGTAGTTTTTCGTATTCCTCCTGGCTCAATATGGCATCGACGTGATGTGTTCTGTTTGCACTGAAAAGTCAATATATAAATCAATTAGTTTTATATTGCTTTTTCATGTATTAGATGATTACAATTTTTAATATATTAATAACAATCAACATTGGATTATTAGCTAGAATTATAATAATATCGTAAAGTTTCTTTCATATTGTAGGTACATACGAGGTCTGTTCAAAAAGTACCCGGAATTTTCGTTTTTTCAAAAAAATATTTATTTATTCGTCTACATTAATGTGGTCCCCTTCAAAGTAGTCCCCCCCAGATATAATACACTTATGCCAGCGTTTTTTCCAATTTTCGAAGCACCCTTGATATTCACTTTTTGATATGTCCTTGAGCACTCTCAGCGATTTTCTTCAATCGAGGAAAACCGCCGTCCTTTCATGGGTCTCTTCAACTTTGGGAATAGGAAAAAGTCACACGGAGCCATATCTGGTGAATTTTTGCACTTTGCAACACTTTATTTCATTTTTTACGCAAAATTTAATACAAATTCTTTGACTTTTCAATTCTTCCATTGTAAAAATCGCCGAGCTCAGAAAAACACGTCGAACCTTAGCGACTACCACAGACAAAGTAAACAGTGAATATAGCTGAAAATTTCATCATACTTTAGGGGCATGTATACCAACACAATAAAAAAAAAATTTTGACAATCAGACACTCCAGACCCGCGAAATTTAATTATTAGTAATTCCGGGTACTTTTTGAACACATCTCGTATATAGGGTGGAGTAGAGTTTAAAGATCTGCTGGTAAAATAGCCCTCATTATCTCAAGAACGAGTTTTAGGAATTTAGAGGGAAATCCCAGAGTGACGGACACCTAAGGTTATTTACAAATAAGTCAAAAAATATTTTACGAAATGTTTATTAAATTATAACTTATGGTAGATAACAAAGTTAGAAATCAAACTTTATTAACAAAAACGCAACCTTCGCTAAAAATAATCAATACTATCAATCAAACATTGGTAACACAAAATATAATTTTAGAAAGTAGCACCTAGTACCGGACATTTCAAAATAACACATATGTAGCCATCTCCATACCCTGCAATGTCTGCACATGTGTGTTTGACAAATATTCTTTGATATTGCAAAAAATCACTATTCATCCACCCTTTTGCATACCACTTAAATGTATCTGCATAAAATATACTAGAATTACTTAATTGATATTTAAGTGGAGCCGTGATTTTGCGCCTAAAATAGCAAAGGGTTGCTCTCACCGTGGCCGGATGCATCACAGGTGGGTTTGGCGCGTGATCCTGCACCTGTGTGCCCCCTCGCCCCTTTCACTTGTATTTTGAAATAAAAAGATTTATACTCGCTTAAATAATGCGTGTTAAATAGAGTGTCCGGCATGAGGGCCGTCCGGCGTTACGGGACTTCCCTCTACTAACAACGATATTTGAAAGTAAAGCCATCGTCTTAAATTGGTCGAAATTGCTACCACGAGATAAAAGGCCACATTGTCAATTCTGTAATAAAATTTATTTTTTATTGTTAATCTTTTTGCTTTTAAGCACGGTTGTTTAGTTTACGATACCTGAATACAATTTTTGAATATTCATTTGGTTCATAAGACGTATTGTTATTTTTAAGCTCGGTTTGCCAGTTTTTTTTTATAAACTCTAGAAAAGCTTGCATATGGCCTACACTTTTATACAGCATTCCATAAAACTTCCTTAAAAATAAAATGGTGGTTTTTCGCTTTTATCCCGCTCGTGAACAAAGAATAATAAAATCATCAACAAAGTGAAATACTTCAAAAGTAGCTCCATATGTCCTCTGTAATCCATAGTTAGAATTACAAACGTATTAGCTTTGTCCATAATGCCGAGAATCTCGAACTGCTTCAACATGTCTACTTTCAAATATTGTTGTTAAAAAAATTTTAACTTTACTTGTTTTTGAGATATCGGCGTAGGACCTTTTTACCAACTGACCTTTAAGCTCCAATCTATCCTACGTTTTTCTTATATAAATAAACTCATATTTTTCATCCGATAGCTTAGAAGAGTAACTCAATCATTGACAAATTTTCGTTATGAGCTTGATTCGGAAGACACAAACCTCAACTCGCTCCAAACCGATTATATAAGATAAATCTACAAATCATTAACTACAAATTATTCAACAATTAATTACCTTCCATAGAATTCGTCAGCAGATCTACGCCTTCGTGCAAGCTGTGTCGTAGCTTCCACGCAAAGTAGTACAAAGCGATTGTCACAAGAATACCTCTCTTGTTTCAACAGCTGATGACTTAGTAAGCTGCCGGCGAGACCCACCTTGCTCGCGGAGGCGGAATGCCAAGCGTCGCAGTAGGCATTGTGATTAAGTTCACCACGTAAACTGGACCCATGCCATGCGACTTTTTGAGGCCTGTCAGATAGGGAATAATATAATTGTTTTACGAGTTCTTTCAAGATCATAACGTTGGAAACAGTGACTAATATTATCAGCAAGTGTTTAAAAAATTTGGAGCGAATTGCTGCTCCAATGTACAAAAAATGCAACAACGCACAAGCACAAAGCTGTTCGCTTCATACAGGGCAATTAAAAATATTTACCCAAAAATATTAGGTATTATTTTCAGTACAAGTTTAAGCGTCAATAAGAAAACACATAAGAAAGTACCCGCGTAACTCGCGAAACCAGTTAAATAAATCAAATAAATAATAATAAATTTAAAGCAAAACAGATTAAGTTATGTATAACTAAATCATAAGTAAATAAATTAGTGAAACAAATAAGTCAACAAGAGTTTCATTATAAATCCAATTTTACATTTATGGGAAATGTCCCAAAATTATTATTACACCATGAATATAAAGCACAACCTTACCCCGTACAAAACTTATGAACATCATTTATTAGTCTAATAATTTATATTGCTGCTGGTTTTATACATCTTTATATGTGAATGAATTTAAATTTGACACATAAAGTTAATTGTAAACTTCATCTATAATCAACATAGTTTTATATATAATTTTCATTAGGTAAGGCTGTTCAAGACGTACAACCGTCGAAGTCGTACCTTATCACGGCTTATTTTTCTGATGATTAATAATTACATCAATAGTACTGTTAAATAAAAACATTTTATTGAGCAAGTAAATGTTTACAATTTTGACGCTGTACGACATTGTGGAACAAAAATAATCAAAAAGCAAGTAAAAAATTTTTTGTTTTTTTAGGGACTTATAAATGGTAGAATTTGTCTAGGTTGTGTCAGAAGCTTGAATTTTAAATTTAGCAGCTTAAGTGGAATCGGTGCAAAAATTTTCACTCGTGCCGGTTTAATGTAAGACTTTCTGTTGATATTTTTTTTAAATGAAAAAAAAAACTACTGGTTAAATACAATTTTATAGTGTGTTAGCTCAAATTTTAATAACCAAAAATGTAACCAACAACGTCTTTATCTGCTTGAACAGTTCCATCAACCTTTCTTTGCGACGAGTTGCAATTAATTTGTGAAGTTATTATTTGATTTTAGGACTTATTCTAACAAAAATGTTCGGCTTAGTAACTAAAAACATAACTGATGATGTTAGTTTCTATATTAACTGAAATGGTTTTATATAAACTAAAGTTAGTTTTTATATCAACCAAAAAAATCCCAACCTAACTTCTATATAGTTATTTATGTGGCACGACTAAGGCAAGTAGAGGTTCTAATTGTACCGAAAGCACGTGTGAAAAACATAAAATCAGCGCAAAACAACAATGATTCAATAAATAACAAATATTTTCTATTAACTACTTTCTTATGGGATACCACTTGAGAAACATTACCATACTAAAAACATGTACAAAAATTGAGTTTTAGTTGAAGACTATTAGGCAATAATAATCCGAGTTTGAATGCTTTTAGTTGTAATTCAACTGTTTCGAATTCAATAAAATTCGATTATGTTTGTACGAAACCTAATGCTTAGCACAGAAGCAAATGTACGAGGTTACAAAATATAGAGAGCAAATATTTAAAACTTTTATATGAACATAATTATTTACTTTAATATTAAAGAATATTGGTTTGCAATTCGCTCTGTTGAATACATTACAAAAATAGATAAGATTGTTACATACTTTACATACTTTTTACAAATGTTTAATACTTTTCAAAAAGTGTTATAAGTAAGGAAAATGTTTATTCTAAAAAATGTTCAATAAAACCCTATATGAAAAAGCACGTGTGCCGCTGCTGTATAGAAGAGCGTGCCCGTTAGTACCGCTATTGAGTTGACCAGGCACATCGATATATTTTAAAATTTTTCTATAATTATAAATAAAAATGTGCTGAAACATTAAAATTTTTAATAAACTAGAATTTACTACTAGAATACAATATATCGTCCATGGACGACATCCGCAACCACAGCACATCAAGTGCATGTTGACCATGAACGACATTCTTAGCAGAAAGGTAAATTGCTTTCAGAATAACCAAATATGTTTATTCTCGTTTAATTTATGGATCATGCAAGAAAATATAAAAACTAACATCATTTTGATACTAACCAGGTAGAATCTTTCATAACATCTTTGCCCGAAAAGCTATATATTCTCGGAGTCTGCGCGAATATCGCACCACGTCCATCGAACATTTGTCTCCATGAGTGGAACATAAGTTCTCCATGTGTATTGACAACTGGTAAGCCTCGGTCGGCTCGTCTGACTATGCTGTCCAGGTCTTGTTGGGTTGACGCCAACATAGCACGGAATGTACTGCGTAAGCCTGCGTATTGCGCCTGGCGATAGCAGGCATAATCTGCTCCGTGGATACCGCCAGAGTCACCGGTGTAAGGTTCATTCAAAGCTGCTATACGGAGCTGAGGTGATGAAACAAAGAATGTTGATATATAGAGAAATTATAAAAGAGCATGGTGCATAGGCTAAGCAAAATAAAAAATCGTTCTGAAATGATAAAAATTATACTATATTCCATAAGTACGTTGTTTTTCTACCGCTATTTGACCGCGATGTATGCAAACAATGCGGGCGCACGCCTTAGGGGGCGCTAAAACGAGTTTCGGAAAATAAAATTTATAATATATTATTTATATAAAATCTAGAATATTTAATGAATTATAATAAAAAATCTAACTTAACTATGAATACGGAGACACAAAAAGCATATTTACTTGACAATGTGATATCAGTAGAAACAATTAAATGATTAATAATAACAGCTGAAAATTAGTAAATAATATCTCTATTTATTGCTTAATCTACTTATTCAATTTTTCTCTGCTTGCAGTTACCGTTAAGTCGAAAAACAAAATATCTTGTTCAATCTCATAATCTCATAAGCGCAAACCTGCGAAAGATTAAATTAACTATTGGGCATTATTGACGAAAAATTGTGAGCTGATTTAGTTGAAACAAAACTTGTTAAAAAATATAAACAAATTATAATCAGGAAAATGAAAAATGGGGAGTCAGTGCTTAGAGAATGGCATGTTTATTCCGAGAAATAGAATTGTAAATTTGTTTTTATTGCAAATGTTTCGCACCTGATGAACTTTGAACGTTGAAGATATGCGTGGTTAGGGTTATAGAAATGGAACTATAATTTAATGATAATGAACTATAATTAATTGGAATAATTTAATAATTATTAATTATGCAGAAATAATATATATCAGATAGAATTAGTTTCTTCTTTCAATAAATTCTGTTTTATTTCATTTTTTACTGATTTTTTGACAATGCTTCTAAAATACGTTGAATATTTAACTTTAATCCTTGCGACTCGGATGTCGCCGCTCCGACGACAAAATTCATATAAATCTTGCAATTCGCGAGTAGAAAGGGTTAAAACAACAGTCTGATACTCTGAATATGATGGGAAAGCAAGGATGAATACAATTCGGCTCTCACGATATCAATAAGGAGAAGTTTACGACGCAATTTTGGATATTGTGAATACATAATGAAAAATTAAATTGAATTAAAATTTGAAAAATCCAACATGAAATACGAGTGTTATGATTGAAAATGAAATGCTAGTTTTTTTAGTTCTCTTGACATGATTTGCTCAAAAAAATAAAATGCAATAAATAAGTAAAATGTTTCAAAACCCAAATATTAATATTGCACTTACGTTAAAAATAATTGAAAAAATATTTGATCATCGCGAATCGTCTCGAATTTTATCGAATAAAATTTAAAAAAAAAATGTAAATATTTATATAATTTTAATGATAAACTGTTAAAACAGTTAAAATTAATAGGGGAGGAGGCGCTGGAAAAAAAGTTGCATGCGGGCGCTAAGGACCCCAGGACTGGCCCTGTATGTAGGGCACAGCGGGACTTAAAGGTTTGCGTACAAATATTTAAAAGTACAGGGTGAAAGATGTGCAATCAGCAATCACCTTGATACTTACGACGTCGCTTTCGGGAGAGAAACGGCACTGTTTGAAATCTCATAATGAAAGTATTTAGTTGTTAGTTTATTTAGTTGTAATCACTGTTGCTTAGTTTTCGAGAGCTATATATAACTATTAGGAATACATTATTTATTTGTTCTTTAACACGTATTGCTAATTTCAAGTTAGATTCAACTGTGTTTTAAACCTTTGTAAAAGCTCACATGTGGGTGGGAAAAACCAGCAACTGATCATTTACGCTGGCAAACATGTAAACAATAAGAAACAGTTAATAAAAAAGTAAATTAAATTAAAAAATGCAATTTTACAAAAGATTTTAGCTTATATAAATAGTTATTTCAACTTAGCTCATAAATATTTTTGCCAAAATACCAGATCAAGGTTTTATACAGTTATCTCTGCAAAAAATGTTTCCATACAATTTATATTTTGCATTGGTTTAATAACGTAACCATTATTTCATAATTGTTTTAAAAATAATAATAAGGCATTGGATCTGTTCGTTCAATGGCTGTTCCATTTTACCTCGCTTATGGGGCAAAAAGGACCAGGTGACAAATTTTGATATGTGTTGTTGTTGATTAGTCAAAGTCAAATTGGACATTTATGCCCCGCCAGCCGCCGCATTTATGAGTTTTTTTGAGTGTTTTTCTAAAATCAACCGCATAAGCCTAGAAATTGCACAAATGTCAAAAAAACGATGTTATTATCAGGGTCTTTCTGACTCAGGTTCATAACATACGAGTGACGTTGCCGTTTATGTGTAAAACGCTTGAATGACCAGCATATACATGACATTTTGACAGAATTCAGTATAATTCAATAGCTTAATTAATGGAAGTTGGAGCGAAACATGGCCTTGCCATAACATTTGTTTGTTAAGCGGCAGAATCGGTCCCTCAATATCAATGTCCAAGAGATTTTACGAAATAATATCTACATTATTCAACCAATGCAAAATTTGAAATTTCTAGGAACTTTATACACATAGATATAACTTTTATTAGGTATTTTGTCAGAAATATTTATCAGCCAGTTGATATAACTATTTATTTAATATATTTCTTATAAAAGTGCTTTTTTAACTTAATTCATTTTTTTATTTACTAATTTCTTAATCCTTTACACCTTGCCAAGGGTAAAAGTACAGTCGTTTCTTGCTGCCCCAACCGAAAGCTTATAACTTAAAAATAATAATACAACAAAGCTCATGACCAAAAAGACTAACATCGATAGAAAATACTTTTGTTATAGATTTTCAAACATCTTCGTATATTTTCTAATAGCGATGTTACATGATTCAATAGCAATTGCTGATTACACATCTTTTTCTTTCTATTTTCAAATATTGTTGTTTAAAAATTCCAAACTTTACTTGTTCTTGTTTTATTGGTCGTGGGCCGTTTTACCAGTGGACCTTTAAGCCAAACTCTACTCTATATATGATCAATTGCAATATAAGTGAAAAAACATTTACTGCCCATAGGCCAAATAACATAAATTGCAAAAAGAAAATGAAATTCGTTTTACATGTTTTACATTTCTTTACCTGTCATCGCTTTCATCTCATTTTGATATGTCTTGCACGCGGACGTAATATCTATATATATGCAATTATGTTTGAACACAATGTTTTGTCTACGTTTTAGATAAATAGATCAACAGATTTAAATTATTCAGAACATTCCATTTGTACTAATGGTAGTTTTAGTTTTAAAAAGTATTCTTTGGCGGCTAAAAGAGTTAGATGTTTTTAGAACTATTTACAATTAGTTAATGATGTGTATTAAAGACTGTTAAGAAATTAAGTGTAATAAACTGTTGGGCGGCTTGCTGACTGTACAGCGGCGTCACTCCTCGCAGCGAAAGAATTTTTTAACGCCAAACAGGCAAATTAATAAAAGTTCAATATGTATAAAATGCAATTAAAAAACATTTTCGTAATAAAGTTATATTTTATTTAAAATATTTCAACATAAGCATGAATTTACGTACACATCAGTTTAAACTAACAAAATTTACACAGGTATATTCTAAACACGTAAATTCAGCGACTTTCGCATTTATTCCTATGTCATGAATTATTTACAGATGCGATTTAATAAGAGTATGATCACATGTCTAAGACTAAAATCAATAATGTGAAGCGTCAAACTTCTATATATAAATGTTTTTATATATAATTTTCAGGTTAATTCATTTGTATAGGTAACGCATTTTATTGATTTAATCTTCATACTGAAAATCTTGTGAGTACGAGTCCATCTGCAGCGTCCGATTTAAAATATATAAATTAATAATATTATTTTTATGCATGCTAGGGTATAGGAATGCAAACTATTTCAAAATATTCTGTATCTCAAAATATACTGTAATTTATATCAAGATTTACGAAAAAATTCAATGTTAAGGAAAATGTATTATGGAAGAAATTTATTTTACAAATACTATTTATTTACTGAATTTTCAATATGGCGTAGTACTTACCAGTTTACGAATCCACTATTCCATTAATGGGAGAAATAAATATGTTTAATTAATATAATTAATACATATGAAACCATTAATTTTATTTAAAGGTCTATTATATTATATATATATATATATATATATATATATATATATAAATTGAAAAGAATTCAGCTAGAGCCACATGTTTGCATTTCTATCCATCCACATTGACTTTTGGCGAAAATCAATACTAAACATCTAGATATCAGTGGACATATATTTCTGATGATATGATCAAGTTATATTTCACATTGCATTATTATAATATAGATTTTATTAAAAATAAAATATTAGTTTATGATGTTCATAATTTTGTAAAATTCTTGTTCTGCATGTAAACTATTATAACATTTAATTCGATCATTTTTTTATTCGTCTAAAAGTAATTCATTGCAATTGTATTAAGACAAATGTTAATTATGTCCAATGTAACATGAGCTTTAAAACATGAGTATTTTTTAAAACAATTTTCAAATTTCAATTGAAATTTTCGATTTGATGCTAGGTATTCATATAATCGGTATGAATTTGATATTATTACGGGAAGGGAAAAGATAAAAACTATTTTTTATAATATGGATTTTGGTCTATCGGTATTTTGTAGAGAGATCCTGGTCGTTTTGGTCAAAAAAAATTCGAATTATTTCGATATTTGAATTTATATCTTCAATTTACCGGCCAATTTTGCAGTAAAATAGGCCATAGTTAGAGCAAGCTGCATTTCTCATTGAAAATGGTACTATAAGCTGTCAAAATCCTATGCATTTACTGTGCGATCAGGCGTATTACACATACCATCTAACCTCTTGCATATATTATTATGATACATCAGGAATATGCACTTCTGATACAATTCTTTTTTTGACGTTTCCAGGTTAGGTTTTCATCTAAAACGTCTGACTGCACACAGCAGTCAAATATCATTTTCACAGTTTTCAGTACCATTTTATAAGAAAAACGCAATTAATCTTATCCATAACATTTGTCTATTTTACGACAGAATTGGCCGGATAATCTTATCAAAATTATATTCTACAGATAATTTTTTTGATGAATATATAAAAAAGGACATACTGGCAGAAACAGATACAAATATTTTATTATTTTAATTATTGAATAGTTTAATAGAAAAGTTTAATAGCGATGACTAATCTAATTTTAGAAGGAATACGGAATAATTGTAGTTTTAGTAAAAATTTTACAAAAAGAATACTTATTAAAACAAGCGACGATGTTAGTAATATGTATTAAAAATTAATTATTTACAACATATGCCTACCTATCGCGAAATTAACTGCAATATCTATTTTATTAGATAAATTGCAGTATTTCAAACATTTAACGGAACTTAATAACGGAATAGCGGAATAGATTAGTAGTAATGAAACACACGAATAAAATATATATGTGATGGGTTTATATTTCAAGTGACGCTAGTTAATATTAGAAAAAGAAATAAAGCAAAATCGTATTTTCATTCCTTAAAAATATCGTTACAAATAAATGCGCATAAATCAAAATGAATCAAATATTAAACTTACCGCTGTTCCAGGTGCGTTGTACCCACTTGATGGTTGTATTAAATTTGAAGCTTGTGGCGGTTGCCAAATACTTTCTGTCGTTGTTGATTCGGCAGGACCTTTCAGTGGTATCAGTTGACCCATCTGCAGATGAATAATTAAGATATCGTGAACACAAAATGAAAATAACAAACATTTCCTGTTTATGATATTTAATTGCATGTAAAATGTGTGCGTACGATCCATAATATTTTTCAATTATTTTATTTCTAAATCTAATTCTCTCTTAAATTCGCCTATTCTAACTATGTACTCCAACAATGATGTTAATATTCATAACTGTACCTCAAATAATCTCCATCTGCTCAATTTAACCTTTATATTTCTTTTCAAATGCGTTTTATTATTTTATCTTACATATTAATTAAATTATTACGTTCTGTATTATGCTATGTTGTGTTTTTAAGTGCATTATGTATTATACTACATATCTATATTATATGTATAATAATTGTATTTTTAACTTTTCTTGAAACTATTGTATGGGCCATGCGTTAAAAAAATAATAATAATGATGCGATATAATCTATACAATATAAACCTAAAAAATTCCAAAAAAATAATCTACGGATATCTTTGTTTCTGATTTAGTTAAGGGGGCGATTGATAGTATGATAACTCTATTATTAGGAGTTGGTCGCAATTGATATAAAATCATCTACAACTTTCTGAAATTTTAATCATTCTACGCATAATCAATTTTATATTTTTTGAAGTTCTAATTATTAAATCATATCAGTTGATTGACAACAATAATATAAATCAAATTCAATCAAATCAAATCAATTAATTGAAGTTAAATTTATATAGTAGGTACAGAAATTAACTCATACAAATTTCAAGAAAAAATATAGAAATCTCATCCGTAGATTTCAGGAACATACATTTTTATATTTATTGAATAACTTTTCTGGACCAATAAATTAATAATCTATCTCTAACTTATGCCGATAGAAAAGTTAAAATCTTTTGATGTTATTCAATTTACTCTACTAAAAGCTAATAAATATAACAAAATGTAGAATTTTACTGATGTCTCTATTGTGTCTTGAGAAGAATTTAATATTTTGTATCCACTTTTGAATTCACTTCGTCGTAACATGAGCTTTCAAAAAATATTATGAAATAAAACTTTCTATTTAAAAAACGTAATCTTTAGAAAAACACTAAAAAGATTTAAATTGATCTTAAATTTTATCATTTGCTATACTTTTATTATTAAAATATCTGTTCGCGTCATCTATGATTGCGGGAGTTACCTACAACAAGATTCAAACCTAAAAAACGCCCTCAGTTTTTGTTGAAACCCCTAACACAAAAGAAAATTACTAAATTGTGGTTCTGTTTAACAATAATTTCATTTATAAACTATATAATTCCAGAACTAACCATATTTTCTACTGAAAAGCAATAATCATTTCTTCCAAGTAGAACAATACATAATAGTTTGTATCATAATGACAAAATTGACAAAAAGTTTAAATATGTAAGTTGCAGTAAATGTTTCGCACATATATTAATAATTGTGCTTATAAAATTTGTATGAAACTAAAACGTATAATAATGAAATATGTCTGTATGTTAGGAATTTTAATTCAAATTACTTACCACTAAATATTGCCATCCTTTATTTACACGAACAAGCACTGCTTCTTCATCAACGACATAAGCTATTGTTCCAACAGGGCTGGTTGCCGAATTCTGTAAAGATATAATAATTTGGTAAAAAATCATATAAAATATGTCAGAGATATTTCGATTTAATCAATTTTATTGCAAGAGATAGCATCATAATATATAAAGCTACATAATACATTTTGATCATAATTTAATCATTTCCATGTGTATGTCAGTGGTGTTCCGTGTGCCAAAAAAATTTATATATATTTCTTTGAAGACATGAACACACTATACTCCTTCACGTTTAAATTCATGATTAGTATTATACCATCCGAATATGACAATTTCAAATCCAAGTCAAATAACGCAAACCGATTTTGAAAATTCTAAAACGATACCAGTTACGGATTGTTGAAAAAAATGTTTTAGACGACTTCAAGGAAACTTGGTATTGTGATAGAGTTCATGCTCTTTGAACAATTAAATAAAACGATTATAAATATGAGTTTAGTAGGTTTGAAAAAAAGCCTTTAGTATAATATATTCCTGTAAGTTAAACAGTTAAAGAAAGAAAAATATGATGAAAATATTTAAATTTCATATAAATCAATCATTATATCCATAAAATATTTCTATAACTGACCATTACTTGATACGAGGTCTGTTCAAAAAGTACCCGGAATTTTCGTTTTTTCAAAAAAATATTTATTTATTCGTCTACATTAATGTGGTCCCCTTCAAAGTATTCCCCCCCGAGATATAATACACTTATGCCAGCGTTTTTTCCAATTTTCGAAGCACCCTTGATATTCACTTTTTGATATGTCCTTGAGCACTCTCAGCGATTTTCTTCAATCGAGGAAAACCGCCGTCCTTTCATGGGTCTCTTCAACTTTGGGAATAGGAAAAAGTCACACGGAGCCATATCTGGTGAATTTTTGCACTTTGCAACACTTTATTTCATTTTTTACGCAAAATTTAATACAAATTCTTTGACTTTTCAATTCTTCCATTGTAAAAATCGCCGAGCTCAGAAAAACACGTCGAACCTTAGCGACTACCACAGACAAAGTAAACAGTGAATATAGCTGAAAATTTCATCATACTTTAGGGGCATGTATACCAACACAATAAAAAAAAATTTGACAATCAGACACTCCAGACCCGCGAAATTTAATTATTAGTAATTCCGGGTACTTTTTGAACACACCTCGTATATAGAATATACTTCTATAAATTTATCTATCATTTTTCTTATTTAATTATTTCATAACTGATAAATGAGATGTTTATTTTACTTCTTGGAAAAAGTAGTTACTATTAAAGAAGCGTATTGAATAACATTCTTGTTTGAATAACGAAGTTAAAATCCTAGTTACGTCATGTGTATATATTATATTCAAATTTATTATATATGGAACTTATGTATGGAGGATTTAAAGACAATTTGTAATATTTAACAATCAAATAAGGTTTGCACTTCGTTTTATGAAAATGTATCCATTGAAATCCGCAAGACAGTCCACATTTGTCGTTAAACCTAAATGAAAATTGTATTCAGAGCATTCAAATTTTGGAACTTTATTACTTATTTGCAAAGTTATCTCTTATCAGCAAAAAAATGCCTCAACATCTTTTCGCACATCTTCTACATATAAAGTTATATTTAGCTGGTTTTTTATTTTGCAATTGTTTATATACCTCTTTGTGAGTTTGATGCACTTTTTTCTTTTTCTCAGTATCAATAATATTTATTCGTTGTCGAGGAAATACTATTACATTTTCATCGGACTTAAAATCTAATAAGGAAGCAGAAATCTGCTGTTTCTGTATGATTTTTGAATTCATATTTTGGGTAGCTAACGTATAAATCTGATAACAAAATAAAGCTGAAAGTAAATGTGACGAGTGAATGTGACCTCAAAATTACAAGACTGTAAGGTTGAAGATCCGAGCAAATGTTATAAATATATTGATATTGCTTAGATTATTAATAGTAATTGAATTTTTTAAGAAAAGTTCAATAAATTGGAATATAATTTAAAAGTTACACGGGCCCATAGAGAGTTAAATGAACAAACTTTCAAAAACCTAAATATATCATATATATAATGGACATGTTTTGCTAGACATAGTGGAATAAATATATTTTCAGTACATTTCACTTTTAGAATCATCCGTTGACGTAGGCTTGATATGAGTTATCATATCCTAACTCGTGATGAGGGTATTCAAGTTGGATATGACATGAACAATTTACATTGAATGGGATTTCGCTGATGTTTTATTGAGGGCCAATATCTGAACTTGATTTGATATAAATATAGATTTCATGAATTTCTATAATTTTAAATACAAAAGCTTGACCTAGTTATATTTTAATTTTTGATGTAATTGATGTCAAAAGTTAAATAAACCATACTGAATCGAATCAAAATGTTACAAACATGCAATAAAAACAGTAGTGGTTCTTGTCTATCCATGAGTATAGATTGAAATATAATTGAAATTTACCTATCTATAAATCTATTCAGTAATTGCTATGCACATTTCTAGTACTTTTTTTTTTGACTGATAACCTAAGTGTTTCAGAATCAGAATACTAACATTCTTAAAAGATTATATTATAATCTTAGAATATAAATTTTATTACTAAAGAAATAACTTTTGGTTTCAATTTTGTTTGCTACATTTATTATGAGTTGTAGAAGCTCTATAATTTCTCTAGATCACGAAATCGCCAAAATAAGAGTTAAAACATTATCGCTTAATCTCCAATTAGTTAGTTATTTCTGTTCTAAATTAGCATGCCGACTTACAAATTCTTCAAAATTACGTAAATTAAAATAATTATTCAATAATTTGTAAAAGACAGCCTTTTAAAGTCGATCAATTTTAAATTCATTCTTTAACAAATAGTCTTTACTCTAGAAAAGTTTCGGCAAATATGCTATTATTTTTTACAGTGATTCTAGAAAAGTTAGTTATTCTCGGTTTCATTATTTATATGAACAAAAATAATAAAAATAAATGAAAAATGACAAAATTGTCTAACTGAAGCTTATTTTGTAGTATTATAGTTTTCTTCAACTTTCCGAAGAAGCAGTTTATGTTTTTGCCGAAAAATCCGAACTTCTACTTTTACCTTTTCTCGACATTTCAAGTCATTCCGAAACGATTGAGAAAGAGTATGTTTGTATTTGTGTATGGGCCATCTTTTGACATTCCACGTTTTCTGAAAAACGGCTGAACCGATTTCTTTTTTTTCAATATTTAAAGAATATTGGATTAGATTCTATTAGTCACGATTAAGTTTGCAAGACGATCGTCTAAGCCATTTATTTGAAATCATTAAAAAGTGCTTTTTTGTAACAAATTTCGAAAAAATCTTGCAATGTCAAGTTTTTGGATTTGTGCATAGTTTATAGAAATTATTTAAGAATTTTCTAAATAGATTTCTGTGTCGCTTAACAAACAGTTTACAACATTTTTCTAGTTGTGTAAAAATGTTTCGTTTCATTTGCATTATTGAATAATATCAAGAACTACGCACATGATATACATCATCGTGCCAGTGTTTTCTCATTCCATATGCTTGATAATTCACAAAATAATTAAGATCCTTATAAAAAATGTTTTAACGTTTATGAAGAGATTCAACAGTCCAAAATTGGTTAAATTATATGCATTCATTAAAATTTGGAATAATAAGCGGCACTTTTAAAAAATACAAGCTCGTGTTTGTGCATTATACTTAATATTTTATATAAGTAATTGCATATAATATAAATGTGTGTGAGATATATAAATTGGAAATCGCAATGTTTAATTTTTAGTGGAAGCGAAAACTTCGAACTTCGAAAAATAAACAGTTAAAATTTTTAACTAAATATCTGAATCTCAATGTCGGCTGATATATCAATTATTACAACTATCGATTTTTTTCCAACTTGCTTTAAGTTAAAATACCACTTTCAATTAGTTATTTAAAGAATTATGACCCACATCAACGTTTACATCATATGGACAATTGTCATAATTTTAAAAAAAAGTAAAACTACAAAAATCAGCAGCTAGACGCCGCGATAATCAGTACTGCAAGATTTAACAAACTGACTCACATGATATAAAATTCCAGCAAGTATTCGAAATGAATATCTCGATGATGCTCAACAAGAAGATTGTTCTATCAAAAACGACCGGCTAATTACATCTATGAACTATTTTCTCACATCGTTCTTTGAGAAAATGCAGTCTATATATAATTTAAACAGAATTCCCTCACATAGTAATTGTTTAACGTACCTGTTGCATGACGTCTTGGTTGGGAAACGTGAGCGCTCCGGGCACTATTCGGATGCCCCCGTCATCCGATGAGCCTGGAGGACCTGGTGGACCTGGCGGACCAGGAGGACCTTAAATGGAAATCGTAATAATCAAATAATATTTCATATATAATTTACATCTTAAATATATAAAAGTTTGGATATAGTAATTCGTAGCAATGGATTTTTAATATAAGGGGAAGTCCCCGAGTGCTAAAAAATCACTAATTATCCACTCTTTTGCCTGGGTCACACCGATGCTCTAAGCTGGAGCATTCATCATAAGATTTTCATTCTTTGACTAGAAAATACGAAAAATGGAGGTATGTAGTGACCGTTAGCACTCATACAGAACATAATTAAATAATTAGAATAAATTACATCAATTCTCACAAGAAATATCAATATGTTTACTTCCGGCGCTAAGGGACGACTTAGTGTCCGGTGCTAAGAGACAGACAATTTCGTTCATTTGGTGGTGCCTACTAAAATTGTTCAAAGTATCTAATAATATTCTACCATTTTACTGATAAAAATCAAGTACTACTTTTATTTTTGAATGCCACTAGAATATAAATGGATAAATACACTAGAATTACTTCCATTGATATTTAGGTGACGCCGTGTTTTTGAGCCTAAAACAACAAAGGGTTGCTCGCGCCTTGGACCTGTGTGCACCCCATGCCCCTTTTACTTTCATTTTGAAATAAAAATATTTATACTCGCTTAAATAATACGTGTTAAATAGAGTGTCCGGCTTTAGGTGCCGTCCGGCGTTACGGGACTTCCCCCTACTTGTCTATCGAAATTACCATGTGTAATTCAGAAAGTTTGATCGTTAAAACTAAAAAAACACACAAAATTAACACATTGTTACATCAAAACATTAAAAAAAACTTTGAAAAAACTAGACATGCTGACATGCGGCAACTTTCCGTACTGCAATTTAAAATTGTGAAAATTTTCTAATTTTTCGAAATTTGTTTTTTTTCGCAAATTTGCAAATTAAAATAAAATCGACTTTTTTGAAAAATTGTCTAATTTAAGTCGGTTGTTCCATAGTGTCGTATATATAGAGGAAATTTCAACTTTATAAGTGAGCTCTATTCATTTAAAATCTTGGTACGGAACCCAAAGAACAAAAAAAATTGAACTTATTATAAAATCTCTATAAAATATTTGATAATTTGATGTGCATTCGTCTAATAATCATTTTTTCTGGGTCTCCGAAAATGCTGGTTCTGCATTCACAAAAAAAATTTCAGTTATTCATTCCATCAATGTAGGTGAAATGTTCTTTGTATAATTAAAATTGGAAGCCCCATTCTATATCTTCGAACCAGGTTTAACCAGGTTAAACCTGATGATGGAACGTACCTAGTTCCGAAACGTCGTATTAAACATCTTCAAAAAACAAATTGTTTTTTTATTATTGGATTTACTGTTCGGAAAAGAAACAATCAATATATTGAAAAAATCCAGGACTTATCTATTGAATATATATATATATATATATATATATATATATATAAAATAACATCTCTAGTAAAATTTATATCTCAAATAATTAAAGGGGTAATTTAATAAATTAATATAATAATTAAAGGGGGAAAATTAATAAATTAATCAATAAATGAATGTAATAGTGAATTAATTTCAAAAGAATGAAAAACAAATTAATGTTGTAAGTTTAATTTGCGACGACACGAATTGCTGCCGGAGCGGCGGCATCCGAGCGGAACGGTAAAACATATCATGCCGCCGGAGCGGCGACATCCGAGCGCAACGGTAAATTGACTATGCCGCCGGCGGCATCCAAGTCGAAAGGGTTAATATTAGTATAATTGTTCTCATTATGTTAGTATTGTGTGTAAAACAATGAACAAAATACTATTTTCAATATACAAATAACGAATGAATGAATTTAACTAGCTGTAAGTGGAATTCTGTCTTAAGGCAATTAGGGCATCGTGCCTTAAGGCAAATTGCTGGAACTTCCCGTACCAAAAATTATTATTTTTTTAATAACGATTAACATTTTTGAAAAAAATTTACTTCGAAATAATTAGATTTTTGAGAAACTAGGAATATGACAAAAAATTACTTTTTTTTGAAAAAAAAAATTTTATTTGAAAAAAAAAATTTTTTTTTGAAAGAAAAATTTTTTTTTGAAAACGAACTATTTTTTTGAAAAGAAAAATGTTTTCTTCATTTTGACATATTTTGGAAATTCTGAACTTTTTTTCAAAGCAATCGTGCTGCTTGAACTGCATAGAGACGAATTGTCACAACGCAAATGCCGCGCCGCCGTCTAACGCATAAACATTGGTACGGAACCCATAGAAATGTAAAAAAAATTATACTTATTGTTAAAATTTCTATACAATATCTGATAATTTGATGTGCATATGTCTAATCATCATTTTTAACCGCCGAATGGCATTTTTTTTTACTTTTTTCATTAGATCTCCGAAACCGCTAGACCTGCCTTCATGAAAAATGATCAACTCTTCATCTTGTCAATACAAGTAAAATGTTTTTTAAATTATTCAAATCGGACGCTCCGTTCTCTTAAAAACTGAGTTACCGTTTTCGGCACTTTTTGCCCCGTACCTTCGGAACGGCTAGACCTAACTTCGCCAAAAACTAATCAGCACGTCTCCTTATCAGTACAAATCGAATGTTTTTTGAATTATTCAAATCGGTTGATCCGTGTTCCCGAAATCGTCGACGAAAATTTGTATCCGCACATACATACACACACATACATACATACACACACACACACACACACACATACATCCATTTTTTCTAAGGTATGCCAAAATGTTCAGAAACCTCTGAAACGTAAAGATATATAAAAATTTTCATTTTCGATTTTTTTGCGATTACTATAACTTACCCTACGGGAAGTTAAAAAAACTAGTGGTGCATGGCATCGTGCTTTAAGAAAAATTTCTGGAACTACCCGTACCAAAAATTTAATATTTTAAAAAAGATTTAAAATTTTTAGAAAACATTGAAAAATTAGATTTTTGAAAATTTTAAAATTTTTGAAAAAAAAAAGATTTTTTTTTAAATTTTAAATATTTTTTTATATCTAGATTTTTTTTATAAATTTTGAACTTTTTTGCAAAGCAATCGCGCTGCGGATAGACATTAGTACGGAACCCACAGATATGTAAATGAAATTTATAATTTTTACTTGAAATCTCTATAAAATATCTCATAATTTGATTGGCATATGTCTAATGATCATTTTTAACATTTCACGGTTAACGGCATTTTGTTTTTTGAATTTTTGAAATCAAATGCTGCGTTTTCTCAAAAACTGAATTTGCCAAAAACTAATCAGCATGTCTCCTTATCAATAGAAATCGAATATTTTTTAAATCATTCAAATTGGTACATTCGTCTTCTCGAAATTGTCGACAAAAATGTGTATCCGAACACACACAAACACACATCCATTTTTTCTAAAGTATGCAAAAATGTTCAAAAATGATATTCTAGATTTTTCACGATTAATATAATTTACTCTACGGTAAGTTAATAAATTATTTCAATACAATAAACGGGTGAAATGAGTTGTAATGTTGCCTTTGTACTAGTTGCGCTAATTATGAGCAAATGTTTATAATTTCAAATATCAAACAAAAATATACATAGCTAATTGGCAATTAATTAGTTTTATGATAGAACGAAATCATCGTTACAGTTCATTCATTTATGAAATTAGTGTAATCATTTCATGTAAATTTAAGGGCTTCAAACAAACTGGTATGTTTCACATGTATATTTGTGATCATGGTTATTGTCCGCAAGTCCATAAAAATTATACAAATATACGTTTGTATATTTAATGCGGAAATTAGTTGCTGAAATTAATCCCCTTTTGATGAATATACAACTACATACGCGGATTATATTTACATTTGCATATAGGTCGTGTACGAAAAATCATTCAGATCAGAATTATTGCACTAATTACTATAGTTGGAGTTATTTTTAGACTGGGTCATTATATTAGGATTATTTATGTTTAATTAACATATCGTCTGTCGCTCACAAACTTTAACTAATTTTTTTTTTTATTGCAAGGGTTTTGAGTTCAAGATACCTGAATATAATTTTGGGTATATGTTGTTCATTTATTTTGTAATATTTTATTAACTTCCTGTAGGATAAGTTATTGTAATGGGCCGAAAATCGAAATTGAAAATTTTTACATTTCTCGACGTGTTGAAGGTTTCTAAACATTTTGGCATACCTCAGAAAAAATGGATGTGTGTGTGTGTATCTATGTATGGATACAATTTTTCGTCCACGTTTTCGGGCGCACAAATCAATCGATTTGAATGGTTCAAATAACATTCGATTCCTATTGATAGGGAGATGTGCTGATTAATTTCTGGCAAAAGCAGGTCCAGCTGTTACGGAGATACGAATCAAAAAGTGCAGAAAATAGAAATAGAGTTTTTGAGTAAACGGAGCATCCGATTTGAATGATCTAAGAAACATTCAATTAGTAATGATTGGGAGAAGTGATTATTAGTTTTTGGCAATGGCAAGCCCAGCCATTTCGAGCTAAATGTGCCAAAAATGGCAGTTTTTGAGAGAACAAAGCGTCCAATTTAAATGATTCAAAGAACTTTCACCTTGTTTTAACAAAAAAATTGATTTTAGAAAAAAATAGTACCTTTTTTTAAGTTTTTTTTGTATATAGAAAATAATTCAGATTTTATTTTTAATTCTGACTAAAGTTCTAATATACTTTAAACAAATAATTTTAACTTTGCAATTCAGTTTATATAATTCTTAAAAATATTAGACAATGTTACAATATTTATAATAATCTATTTAAAAACATTCAGTATTCCTCGAACATTTCGTTACGGTACGGGAAGTTCCTGCAATATGCCTTAAGGCACGATGCCATACATCCCACTAGTTTTTAAGTTAGATTGAATCAGTTTTTCCACTATTAAAGCTTACATTAACCACTATAACCACTATAAAAAATTTCATTTAGACCAACTAAATCTTTGGCCAATTGTAAATGTGTAAACGATAAGAAATAATGAATTAAGTTAAAAAGTTACAAGAAATGAATTAAATTAATAGTTAATCGACCTTTATTGATGAACATTTCGGTTGAAATTCGAATTCAAGGTTACATACAATGAAATCTTTGTAAAAAATTATTCCCATAAAATTTGTTAAACAACGTAACTATTTTTTCGTAAAATCTTTGTAATATTTAAAAAAAAAACTTGGATCTGTTTTTCTTTTGGCTATTACTACTTACCTCGACCATGAGACAAAAAAGAACAGATAACAAATTTTAGAAAAATAGTAAAAGAACATATATCTATAATAATAATTTGACTATAAATTCAACTGAACAAAGTTAGATAGTTGTTTGTTTGAAACGTGTTATGTGTTGTCCCGTAACTTATTTAGTTCAGGCAATATTATTACCTAAAGTCAAATTGGAATTTTTGCCCTGACTTATTTGAAAATATGTGTCCAATAAAAATTTCAAATTTTCATAAAAACTCAAGATTATTAGAAGTGCAAAGGTTTGTAATGCTTAATGTAAATTTGACAGTAACGAGCAAACCCAAAAATCGTAATTCTGTCTTATTTATTTCCGTCAAGAAAATAAATGCATATTAGATATAAAAAAATATTTTAAAATATAAAAAGCAATTAATTTCTGTTATGTAGAATTTCTTAGTGTTGACATACAATGTAGACAACAAACTTATTGCTTTTACTTATAACTACAATTAAATACTTTGTCATCTTCTTAGAATGTCTGAAAACTCAAATTTATAGTATACTATAAAGCGGCTACTTAGCTAGATATTCGTTGAACATTTCTCTACAAACAACTTGTAAATACCTATTGATAAACTTGAATTACTCAGAGCAGCTTTTACATTTCTGAAACTTCCCAAGTCTCTCAATGCTTTCAATTCATCCAAACTGCTTCTTGATCCTTGTGCAGCGTTAATAAACATTTTGAAATTAACTCACAAATCAAGATATTGCATTTTATTCAAGGAAAATTTATGCTTATCTACATCATGTTTTCGTATATAGAATAACGATGCTTTTATAAAATGACCAAATTAAAATAACATCTCATGTAATCTCGTTAAAAGAAATGAGTTTTCAGAGCAGGATGATGAATTATGTTATAATTTGAATAATAAGTAACAGCACGTCAGCGTAGACAAGTGACAAACTTTTCCATTAAGAAGTTATAATTCTGCGCCAACAGTTACCATAATCAAAATATCTATATTTACATTACTAAAATGAATGATTCATAACAGACGGAAAACTATCCTGACTTTAAATCAGGTGTTAATCTGAAACTTATCGTTGAAATTAGCATAGAAAAACGTACGTCTACATTTGAGAAATTACAGCTGAGATATTGATTTATAAATTTTTCAGTTATAAATATTTCAGTCAGTAATAATTCATTAGTTTTATGTGATATTTTTAGTGAAATAATACCTTATAACGAATTCTCCATTTTTCATTATAAAATAATTAAAAATTTTGTATCAATATACCAGCAAAATCAAATCCGCACTTTACTTTAATTACAAATTAGCTCGAAGTGAACGTATAAATATTTTTAATGAACTTCGTCTATCACATATACAATAATTACATAAAGCAAATATTCTTGTTATGTGTATTTCTTATATAATGAGTTATGTGTATTTCTTATATAAATTAATGATGCCAACTAATTATTATAAAAGGTAATGATGTAAAAATTCTCACCTTGTCTTCCATAGCCTCGGTACTGTGGTTCACCAAATGTAGGTGGTAGTGCAGATACACCAGGCTCTCCCTTCTGTCCCATTAGTGAAACCCCGGGAGGTCCTTGCAATCCTGGTGACCCCTGGGGTCCTGGAGGTCCCGGCGGTCCAGGAACTGGCACATATTGAACATTTTCATTTGCATTACTTCCGGGCAGGCCATCTCTGCCGGGCAAACCTGGACTACCGTCTCTGCCTCGATCACCTTTCTCACCTTTTATCTGAAATAAATAAATATAAAATTATAAATAAAATTTGTAATAGATAGTAGTTTTTTCTTAAGATAAATCGGTTAAGCTTATCGAGAACAAACAACATGTAAATAATAGTGATATATATATTTTTTCATAAAAATTTTGGTATATTTTAAAATACTAAAATACTAGACCTTCAAAATGCTTAAAAATCAATGTAAAAATTAGTAATAATTTCAAAATAAAATTAAATCTAGTGTATAAAAATTCTGAGACTTTTAATATTATCTGAAAAATACCAAAAATTTTCATCTCTCCGTAGAATTATTCATTTAGTTAAAATGTTATAAGATTCTTTTATGACAAAATTTGATGAATTTAATATATATGATTCTTTTATGAATTTAATATATAAATTAAGAGAATTAAGAAAGTTACCTTTGGATGCAACGAATAAATTTAGAAGCTTATTTACATATTTATGTAGTTTTTTTTAAATAAACTTCAAGCATTTAGAAATTTATCTAATATTTATATTTATGTTTTAGTTTCTGTAACATATTAAAAGTTGTTATCATAAAACCTTAAACCAAAGTTAAAAAAATGTATATAATTCATTCATAGTCTATGTCAGTTTTTTTTATTAAAGACTGAGTTTTGTCAAAATCGCAGCATTATGTATGATAGGCATAAGGTTGCAATTTGATTTTGAGCAATCATACTGTCTAAGCGAAATAATTTACATCAAAACCCATAACACGTGCCAAACAACTATAACAGTATGTCCAGTAAAATTTCGAGTTAATTCCTAATTATAGGAATGTGTTTTAGTATTAATATTTTTCTAAAATTTGTCGAATGTCTCTTTGTCATGTGGTAAGCAGATTCCATACAATATTTTTAATTTTAAAGGGATTTAGGAATTAATAGCCACATTATTCAACCAATGCAAAATATAAACTTCATGGATACATTTTTACAGAGATAACCACTGTATACAACCTTGTTCTGGTATATCGTCACAAATATTCATCAGCAGAGTTCGAATAACAATTTATTTAATTTTTCTCTTATAAAATTGCTCCTTTTAACTAAATTTGCTTTATTATTTACCATTTTCATTGTTTACGTCATTCCCAGGGTAAAGATTCAGTTTATACTTTTTAGCCCACCCACGTGTAATAAATAACGTATTATAAAAATTTATATTAAGGTTTTGTAAACTAAATAACAGTGCTCACAACCAAAAAAAAAACTATCAATGGTAGAAAATACTCTTGCTATGGATTTTCATATATTGTCGATTATCTTCTGATAGCAACCTCATAGTAATCAAGGTGATTCCGTTACATGTTTTGCCCTCTACTTTCGAATTTTGTTGTTGAAAGTTCTTAAATATACTTGTTTTTAAGATATTGATGGTATACATTTTTACCCTCGGACCTTTAAGCCCCACTCTACCTTATACATGAATTCATTATAACATATGCTGATATTTGAGAACACAAGTCTTTACCACAATTATTTCAATTTCAATTTTTTTTATCTCTTATTGAAATTTGATACAGTGAGAATATTATGAAAAGCAATAATACACGCTTCTTGATTTGTATTACAAGTAACGACATAGATTTATACATAAAAAGCCAAGGCATAATTTAAAGTACAAGTGACATGCATAATACAAAATTAAAACCTTTTCTCTTACGAAACAATCAAATTATAAGAACAACTCTTATTTAGTGATATCGACACTATTATTATTAATTAAAGAAGTACATATTTGCTTTATACGTTTTTATTTATAAACCGTATTTTTGTTTTACTAATCTTCTGACAATAAATGATTTTATTTAAATTATTTGCTGTTTCAAATTAATCCTTTCGAATTCTGTACTTTTATTAGAAAACGTTAAATTGATGACGTTAGAAATTTCTCATAATTGAATGACCATAATTGAAACAAAAATTCGGAGACACGTAAGGGTTTACACCACTGTAAATTTTTCGAAATTTGGAGTGCCCATCATAGCGGATTTTCTATATGTTAATTTGTTCAACAGTTATTAAAAAATTATTTATTAATTATTAGTTATTTTCGTTTAAATTTCATGATTTTATATAAGTGCTCGCCGAATAAACAAAAATCGAAATCCGATTTCAAAATGTTATTTCAAATATACTGTAGAAAATTCGAATGAAATAATTGAAAATTGTTGTAGTTATTTTGCGTGCAGCGGAACGTCTCCAATTTGACACAACTCGCGGAAATGGCTGTGCTACCACCATTCTTAATTTTTTTTTCGCAATTATATTTTAATTTGTTACTTTAAAGTACAACTAGTTGGTATTGGTATTTAGCCTTGAGGCAAGTTACCAAGTAAATCATCTAGTTTTCATTTTAACAAACGTCAAAAAAACTACTCATTTTCTCAAACTTTGATAAATTTTTAATATTAAACTACTTGTCGCAAGGCCGCAATATTACAGTAACCTCTATAAGACCATGATATATATAGCCAAATAATGTGTAAAAAAATCCATAAAAATCGGCTTAATTTTTTTTTCAAGAGTTAATTACAAGAAAACGGCTCGGTAGATTTTCACCTAAAACTAATCAGCATCAATCCCAACCAATATCTTTCGAACAGTTTTTGATTTTTTAAAATCGGTTCGGTAGGATAAGCTTAAATGTGGACGAAAAGTTTAACACTTTTTTTTTAAATTACAAAGAAACGGTTTGGCAGATCGTCTCACAAAACTGACAAACGATAGTCTTCATCGAAATACATCAAATGGTTTTTAAATTTCTGAAATCGGTTCAGGCGTTTTTGAGAAAACGTCGATGAAAGGTCTAATTTTGACAAATGCCATAAAAACGATACCAATTTTTGCAAACTTTGACGAATTTTCAAAGTTAAACCAATTGCCGTAGGGCCGTACAAGTTTAGTATGATCTAGAAGACTATAATATCTACCGTCAAAAAAATAATAATAAAAATCGTCGAAAAATTTTTTTTTAACACTTTATTACAAGAAAACGGCCCGGCCGATCTTTACCAAAAACTAATCAGCACGATTCCCAATCAATATCTTTCGAACGGTTTTTGAATTTTTATAAACGGTTCAGAATTGCGGGCTAAAACGTGGACGAGAAATTTTTCACTTTTTTGCTATTTATAAAGAAACGGCTCGGCAGATCGATATACATCGAATGGCTTTTAAATTTTTGAAATCGGCCCAGCCGTTTTCGAAAAAACGTCGATTTACGGCAAAAAATCTGTTCACATACACACACCCACACACACACATACTTTTTCCAAATTTGGTCTCATTAAATTCAGAATGGCTTGAAACGTCGAGAAAACATAAAATTAGCGAATCGGATTTTTTTATGAAAACATAAACTTATTCGGGAAATTAATAAATAATTAGCTTTGATATCATGATTTCACTACCTTTCTTCCGCCCGAAATGAAATGATAGAAATATACGGTTTTGCCTGTTACAGGAGTGTAACCCCTTGAACAATAACTATAATTTTCTGTAGTACATAAATACATAAAGAAACTGTATCGACTCTAGATTATTATACCATTAAACTTTAGATAAATAATGATTTAGATAAAAGTTTTTAGATCAATGTATAATAAATATATTGAATATTACAAATTTATATTATAAAAAAATTCAATATGTAGGACAATTATTTATTATAATATTTTTTTTATTAGTTTAAACAAAACTATTGAAATTGAAAAGACATTTTAAATTTTCTTCAAACTAGCATTAGTTTTCGAAGCAATTGACTGCAAAGAATTCTTACAATCAAGGTAATATTACATTTAAAGCACACATGTTTCCCCATCTATTTCCAGATCACGGACATATGTTGAGAAATTATATAAAAGTTCAGCACAAAAGTTCAAAACTGTGCATGTAGAGCTATATATTATGTCATTTCAAGAAACTTATTTCCAAATTTCATCTCCTAAGAAATACTAAACATGCTACAGCAGTTACCTACGACATGGAAAAGTAAATGACGTTAACGAAGAGCAATACATGAATAATTGAAACGAATTGAGGGAAGAAAATTAAGTTGGACAAGAACAATAATACGAGAGATACATGAATTTATTATTTTTTATGTGATCTAGGTTAGTATTAAAGGTCTGCAGATAAAAGGGTCCACCACCATTATTTCAAAAACAGTTAAAGTAAAAAAAAATACTAATTTAACGATACTAATTAACGATACCAATTAAAATAGAAGGCAAAATATGGCAATAAACGATCATCTTAATTTTTACGACGTGAATATTAATTTTGTTTCTTCGGTAGTTTTTGTTGATTTTAAGTTCTTTTATTTAGTTAATGATATCTGAAAGTATTTTTTAGAAATACGTAATTTATTTGTTTTATAAGACGTTATTTCTAAATTTTATTCAACAGTTTTTTCATATAAAAGCTTGCAAGTAAGTGGGCATAAAAGACCCATTTTTATAATGGCAAAGGTATAAACAATTAGAAAAAAATGTTATGCAATAAGTTATTCCATTTCTGCTGATGAATATTACTCACAAAATACCAGGTCAAGGTTATATAAGGTGTAATAATTGTAAATAATGTGCTCATAACATTTTTATTTTGCATTGCTTAAATTTAGCTATCACTTCGTAAAATCTCTTCAAAATTTCAAAAATACCTTGTATCTGTTTTCCCGATGGCTGTCCCTTTTTACCCAGTCTATAGAAAATGGGTGAGATGACAAATTTAACAAAATTCTGAATAACATATATCTATAATTCGGAATTAGTTAGGTATTTTACTGAACTAAGTTCGAAAGTTGTTTGTTTGATACATATTATGTATTGCATTTTAAATTAACATCTATTAATAAGTTTAATCAATAAATAATAAAAATAAGAGTAAGTTCATTAGCTCTAATTTGTGGATTTAAAATAAATGATGTATCTACACAAACAGATGGTTTGGAATTAAAACTTAAATTTTAATTCGACAAACGGTAAAAGTTTTCAGAAAGCAATTATTTAATAAAATAGAATTTATTAATATTATTTTTAAGTTCTTTGCTAAATTTTGAACATGTATAGAAATGAATACTTTATATCCTTTGACCTGCATGCGCAGAGTTGACCATTGGAAAATGAGTGGAAATACGTCGGATTAAACATTTTTGAAAATAAGTGGTCATATATCAGATTGAATATTTTAAAAAAATACTCACCCCTCTTCCATTTTCAGATCCTGATTCACCCTTTTGTCCTTTCATTCCAGGTGCTCCCGGTGATCCAGGCAAACCAGTAGCCCCTGGTCTTCCCTAAAAATATTATAAATGTTAAATAAAAACTATAATTATATTTGACTAGGAATATCAAAATGCATGATAATAAATATGTATTTGTGTGTACTTTTCGACAATTCATAATACAAAATAAATTTATTATTTTGTAATCTAAAATTGAAATATAAACAAGTTAAGAATTTGTAATTTAAAATGTAAATATAAACAATTTTTAAAAATATGTTATAATAAAATTATGTAGTATTTGGCTGAAAAATATGTATGATTATATAATTATTATCATTATAATCTAACAAAGATTAAATAAAAAATAAAATAGATTTTGTGAGTTTTGTGCTAATAATATTATTTCCTTCAAAACAAGCCAAATATTTTATTTCTTTTCATCTTCATTATTGGAGAATTTATTTGAGAATATTAGTTTTCAATTTTTTAACAACTATTTAAATGTTTTAAAATTATATGGTGATTGCATATAGCAAATCATATATAGCTTGAACTAAAAATTTTATTTCAATAGAATGATCTTGCCTAATATATAAAAAGAATAAAATGCAGATAGGTAGTAAAAACGCTCACGATAATACAATAATAATAATTTCAGTGCAAGTTAAGATATTTTCGATTATAATAAAAAAGTTATACCCATCGTAAATACAATTGCAATATTCATATACTGAGACCCATAAAAACAAATAAATGTAAAAAAGTTGAACCATCTAAAATAACATTATAATTTAAAATGCTATTATATCTGAAAATAATGTTCATTGCATAGGAATAACAGTGCTTCATACTTTTTAGCAAACCGCTTCTGCCGAATACACAGTATTACATTTACCATAAAATATAATGTAATGTGTGTAATATTACGTGATATGTAACTATACAGGTGCAAGTAAAACATATGCAAATAAAACTCAAGTAACAAAGGAAACACATTCATTCGTGGTGATAAAAGTGCGAATATAAATTCTTACCTTTAACGAATTCTGCACAATGAAAGCATTAACAGAAACACATGTGTATTATACTTTTCGTATATATTTAAGATCTAAGGTTGGATGTTTTTTGCGTTAGGAAAGTGCGAGTGACGTGAATTTTTTATGCGATTACAGCCGCACGCAACTTTTACTTAAATTGGAATAATCCGGTTGAGACGGTTATATTTTTTTATGTTTCATATTAGTATTTTTATACTACGTCGTTTTACAGCTTTTTATGTAGGCGCGGGTGGTTTAATGTATTCATTTATTTAGCACGAGGTAACTTCAATAATAATTTTAATAAAAAAACGTGGTTAAATATCTCTACTTCCAATAAGGACTTCGGTCTCCCTTTTAGAATGGATTAGTTCATTAAATAGCTCAATATATTCAAAAATTCAGATGATTTATACTTTGTTAGCAGTTAGACAAAAAAAAATCATGAAAATATAAGGTAATGTAAGGTTGTGTTTCCAGTTAGTTTTTAGTTATGATTTCAATTATGCAAGGGGTTTCTCATAACATTTATAAAATCAGTTTATAATTTAATAATGTTTATAAATGTAATCAGTTTATAATGTAAACAAAATGAAACAAACAAACGCTAAAATAATCATATTATTTATTAACAGCAATATATAATATAGAGTAAGGTTGCTCAAGTCGTACCATCGCCTAATGTCAAAATAGAACTAGTGGGGTGGGTGGCATCGTGCCTTAAGGCAAATTGCTGGAACTTCCCGTACCGTAACGAAATGTTCGAGGAATACTGAATGTTTTCAAATAGATTATTATAAATATTGTAACATTGTCTAATATTTATAAGAATTATATAAACTGAATTGCAAAGTTGAAATTATTTGTTTCAACAAAAAACTAAAAAAAAAAAAAAAAAAATGGAACGAAAATTTTTTTTTTCAAAATCAATTATTTTGTTAAGACAAGCAGAAAGTTTTTTGAATCATTCAAATCGGACGCTTAGTTCTCTCAAAAACTGTCATTTTTTACATATTTAGCTCCGTATCTTCGAAATGGCTGGGCCTGCCTTTGCCAAAAACTAATAAACACTTCTCCCAATCATTACTAATTGAATGTTTTTTAGATCATTCAAATCGGATACTCCGTTCTCTCAAAAAGTCGATTTCTATTTTCCGCACTCTTTGCTCCGTATCTCCGAAACGGCTGGACCTGCCTTTGCCAAAAACTAATCAGCTCTTTTCCCTATCAAAAGGAATCGAATGTTTTTTGAACCATTCAAATCGGTTGATCCGTGCGCCCTAAAACGTGACTGGAAATTTGTATCCACACATACATACACACACACACATACACATACACACACACACACATCCATTTTTTCTGAGGTATGCCAAAATGTTCAGAAACCTTCAAAACGTCGAGAAATGTAAAAATTTTCAATTCCGATTTTCGGCCCATTACAATAACTTACCCTACGGGAAGTTAAAAAAATTGACTGTTTATCCATATTATATATGACAATAGTTTAGAAATAATTCAATAGTAGAATTTATTCAGATTGTCAGTAGTTTCAATTTAAAACTTCGAAGGCATTGCAGCTTAAGTTGTACCGTTTTGATAGAGTGCGTTTTATAGATTTTCTAATAAATACAAATAACTAATAATTAAATACAATATTCTACAGTTATAGTTTCAATTAAAAAATAGCATGTGGGTGTAATCAATACATTCTGTACCTGCACAAACAGATCCATTTCCATTCATAGAACCAAGAGAATTAATAATTTTATGTACATTAATGACTTATATTATTATCAAAATAAGCTAATAATTATTTTGTTTTAGGCGTTGTTCTAAAAACTTGTATAGACATGAAAACTAATAACTAGAAAAATTTGATCTCAGTCTGAGGTAACTTATGCATAATTTAGTTTTTTAGAAGTCTAATGCACGTAGACTCCTTAATCGAACCGAAAGCACATTTTTAAAAATCGTAAAAATACCTTTGAACAAAAAAGAAAACGTCAGTAACTGTTAATCATGAAGCAACTAAATAAAAATACAATAAACGCTGAACATTTTTTTATAATTTGTTTGTAAATAATATTTTTCAAGCTCATCTACCTATCTAAATATTTTTCTATATATGAATATACACAAGGAAAGTATGGAATAATTCAACAATATTATTTTAAAGTAGAAAACAAAAAGTAATGTAACCAGCCAAAGTAAGTATTTTATTTTATTTTGCAGTTGTTTTTATTAACTTCCCCCAAGGAAAATTATAGTAATTTCTCAAAAATCGAAAATGAAATAACCTTATGTATTAAAACTCTGCTGTACTTATTAATAAATATTTCAGTTCATAGTTGGAGTTTAGAAGTCATAATAAACCGAATTATTGCGGTTTGTGGTTTGTGGTTACAACAACTAATGGAAAAAACAAACTATTACCATTAAGCAAAGTTCAAGTTAATTCCATATAATCTTATAAGAAAAAATAGTAACAAAAATATTCAATTTACTTAACTATATCAGAACTCTGTGTGTGATAACTGTAGTGATAATATTTACAGTTTTCATTAATAGATATAGTATAAAATTTCCAGTATTTTTAAGAAAAGCTTAAAAAATAGTTAATTGAAAGAATGCAATAATATAGCAAATGAAATTTATGCATCTTTGAATATAAATACATGGAAGGCCAAATTCGATATCCAAAAGTTTTCGTTTCATTTGACCTGAAACGAACACGAAAGTAATTTGAATTACTTTAGACGATTTTAATATTTAGGTACAATGAAACAACGAGGTATTTATTATATTAATATTTAAGTAGCAACAAATATGATAAGTAATAAAACATGATAAACCTGTTAATTAAATTATAGGAATTAGTAATTAAGCAACTGTACGAAATGATTTCATTTCCTAAACACAAAACATCACAGACAACGTCAAAAATAATTTCAATAGAATCAGCAAAAACATTTATCCAAGTTTGAATTGTTCCATTCAATTATATGCTATTTGATGAATAAGTATTATACAGTATTATAAAATTCTAAAGACGTAATTATTATATGAATTTTTCAAAAGATTTTTAATTACTTTTCGGTTTGAAAAAACATCCGAGCGTAACTTGTCATCACATAAATTTAAAAGCTTATCATAATAAAGCATGTTATTAAAAATATAATTACTCACCATCCATCCAGGGAGACCGATTTCTCCAATTGGTCCCATTTTTCCTGGAGGTCCCATCGGTCCTGGCAATCCATTTTTTCCTCTCCGTCCTCTCTGTCCCCTGTCGCCCTTATCGCCCTACGAGGATAAAAAACATCTTTAATAATACATAACAAGTGAAATATTCGTCGGAGACTGTGAATAGACTGATAACTTTGCCCAGAAAACGCTAAGATTAGACGACGAGATAACTTTATGCTAAAATATCATCTAAAGCAAAACACGTAAATGAAGTCAACGGAATCGATATATAAATTATTCAAAGTAAAAATAAGTCGCAAAGCGTAATCTTTACCAGAAGACTGTTGACTTTAATTTAATTGAATATTTTAATCTTGTTGATTCAACGAAATATTTAACCCTAATTTCATTTGTCTGTGCTAAAACATTTTTCGAAGATAATTTAAAAGCATAAGATTTATATACTTAATTTCAAGAATATTCGACAATATTTATTACTGTGAGTATTTTGCAGATGCACAGTAATTTAAAAAAAAATCAAGTAAGATAAAAATCTCTTTAATATTATTATCGACATTCAGTAATCGTTTCTTCAATCACTAGCTTCATTATGCAAGTCAAAGTATATATTTTACTTCCTCTCTTTATATTTGAATTTTCAATTAATTAATCGTTCCTTTGCATTTATGTAAATTGGTTTCAAGAGATTTTTATACAGTAATTGGATGCAGCTAGAAGAAAGTTTTATTGACAAATGTATAACAAAAAAATTATATCTAATTAAAAATATTGAAAGAAGCCTTCATTCTAAAACTTTATTGTGAATTTCTTAACCAAAATATTTAATTATTTTTAAAATAATAAAATGTAAAATTGATGTTGATATAAAATTTGAATGGTTAATATAAACTTAGAATAATGCATTATATATATATATTTTTATTACAAAAATTCTATTGATTAGTATTATACAAAAAAGGCAATTAAATAAGCTATAAGTTATTGGTTAAAATATGTATCAGTTGGTCATGTATGTAATTTGGTTTTCAATGTAGCATCTTTTATCTATCTATGTAAGTCTTCTTCTATATATAAGTAACAAGTACAGTTATATTTAAACCATACTATTTTAAAGTAGAGAACAAAATATAATGTAACCAGCCATCGATTTAAATTGGGAAATATGGCTATCGTGAGATAAAGGAACAAAGGAAAGGAATTTTCATTTTTGTAAAGAAAGTATTTTATTTTATTTTGTTGTTTTTTTCAGTTTGAATCTTTGTTGTTTTCATAACTTCCCATAGGGAAAATTATAGTAATAGTCCAAATATCAAAAATAAAAATTTCAGTTTCAAAAGTTTCTGAACATTTTGACAAAACTCAGAACAAATGGATGTGTGTGTATGTGTGTATGTAGCATGTATGGATACAACTTTTTATCGATTTTTTCGGGAACTAACTGATTTGAATTGATGCAGATCAGTTTTCGACAAAGTCAGGCCCAGCCGTTTCGGAGATACTGGGCAAACAGTGTACAAAATGTAAATTAAGTTTGTGAGAAAACGGAGCCTCCAAATTGAACGATTCAAAAACCATTTAACTTGTAATGAAGAAATATGTTAAATTTTTGCAAAGGCATGTCCAGCAATTTTGAAGATCCAAAAAAATAGTTTGAAATAATGCCATTATAAACGGCCAGATATAAAAAAATACAAGTTTTCATAAAATATTATTAATGAGACATTTTTTTATTTCTTGAATATTCCAATTCTTAATATGTTTTCAAATAAATTCTAAAAATCTAATTTTTCATGATACCAAAATATACCTTATTCAATAATTTATTATAAGGTGTGTTGTTATTTCTAACTTCAATTCAAGATATATAACTTTTAAAAGAATAGCAAAAGAAAAATATTTCTAGTTTGTTTGGTTTCCACAGGATACTTTCTGAAAGTCAAATAGATTCTGCATTCAAATCGCCATTACCAAAGTATAATTAGAATCAGTTTTTTATGAATATAAGCTGATAAGTGTTTTCTAAAATAATCGAAATTTGAAATTATGACTAATATAAATGAAAAGGTTAAACCTCATAATAATATAAAACGTTATTATATTTTGTACTTTAGTTTATTATTATTACATTAATTAAAAATGCAAATATACATATTTAATTTTCAGAAAACAACTGTTTTATCTCTTTTCAATTCTAATAATAAATTTATCATTTATTCCATTACCCAAATGAACTACATTACAACTTGATTATTTTGAATAACAGGTAAGCATCATAAACTGAGAGGAATATTCTGAGTTAATAAATAAACTTCAAGATAACTCCAGAAATTGTTGAATCGTAAAGGCTGAACCTATTTTGCATATAGCAGCGTTTTACAATATAAGCTCTGTTATTACTGAATCTGCAATATTTTAGTACGGTTATATAAACACGTACGTATATTCTAAGTAATAACAAAATAATGGTCTGCTGGATATGATTTGTTTCCCTTAATCATTACAGCATAAACAACTGTGGTAACAACTTCATTAGTGATCCAGATAATACATATATGAAATTCAGAGAGGAACGAATATTAAATTAAAATGTAACGATGGTTAAAATTATTTGAAATCTCATTTTATAGACTTACAAAAAATATTTTTATGCTGTGTAATCTCATGACACGTAAAGTAGGATTTACATCTACTTATACGGTAGTTATTCAAGACTTATATCTTAAAAATGACTTTTGGTTATTCATGTATATTTTAGATTCTACTTAAGAGTACGCATTAATGCCAATATTATCAATATTAACACATATCGATAAGGTTTATACAAATGGTTAAATTAAAGTTCATAGTTTATGATGATAACCTTAGAGTTTTTACCTGTAATTTAATGATAGATTCAATCTTATATAAGTAGAGTAGATAAGTCATGGTTGTGCCACTTTTTTTATTGATCAGCGATAATTTTGTTAATTTACCAGTTAAAATTAAATTAAATGTTCATTCTAACATTAGTCTACGTAGAAATACAAAAATACTGTCCTTAAATACCATGAATAGACATATAATCAAATCATATGAAGAAGGGTGAGTGAGTATCACAATTGTCCACACTCTCAGGACGGTTGTGACGGGCATAAAAATTGGTTAAAAAATTATAGCTATAAACACGAAGCAGGTTTATAACAATTTTTATTGTCAGAAATATGTAACACAACACAAGATAATCATTTAAACAAAGCGTATAAATATAACAATATATATGAGCACATCATTTTGAAAACAAAGTTAAAAAGACATCTTTGTGAAATTTTTCCTTTGTATCTTGTCTTAGTTAAGTTAGATTTTTATCTGTTTAATGTTCACCCGAAAAGGACAAGAAATACTTGTCACAACCGTACCCACAATTTTTTTCACAAATGTACCCGCACACTTTTGGAGACAAATCATCGTTATGACTGAGCTAAATTATCTACGCAAAAACCAATTGATGGTAATTAACTACTAAGGTTCAACTTACAGCACAATAATAAACCGAGTGTTATATCTATATACAACCAGTAATTCTTATTGAAAAAAATCGAGCGAAATACTTATTTTTGACTCTTTGGACTACATATTATGTCATCCGTACCGCTATATTAGATAAATGACAAAGAAAATTATAAACCAATATAAATTGAATAGAAAATGTATTACTAAAAAGTTTAAAATAAATAAATCTGATAAAATCTATAAAGCAATCTCGAGTTGAATCTATGAATCTCGTATAAGCATGACTAAATAATTTCATAAAATATTCTCACATTTATCATTAAGTCACTCATATAAATTTATGTAGTATAAAAATGAATTATGACTCTAGATAAAATTGTTCTTTTCGAGCAGTCTCGACATTCACAGTTCATATTGTAATATTGGCCTTTTATACCTGAATGTTTTATATGATATCATATGACAGACGTGAGTTATGATATGAGAATATTGATATTTGATATTTAAGTTTGTCAATAGGAGCCATTGTCTATAAATCGCGAACAAGTCAAATGAAACGCGTTTTCATATTGCAAAGCTAGAATGTATCAAATATTTTGTATTTCGTATTTCATGAATCCAACACGCTCAAGTATAATTTACAATGTAAACTTTATACGTGTCGCGTTCGCTTCATACAATATGCATATTTACATTGAACAAACCTTGTAGAGGAATACATTAAATGACAAGAGATTTGATAAAAAAATAATATATGTGTAGCTTCTTTGAACAAATAAAAATAAAACAAACATCAAAATATGCTACGATTCGGAATTTATCTTGACTGACATTTCGTATTGATTCGACAGTGACGAATATTAAAAATAGCGCCATTGTTTGTTGTACAAATTATGTCATACATGATAATGTCAATATTTAAAAAATAGAATAGAAATAATTTGAAAACTTAGTACTCAGTTTATTAGATTTGCATTAGTATTCGGTTTATTAGATTTCTCGAAGCAATATTTGAAACTTTATTTTAATATATAGATATGTTAGCTATGAATGATGGCGCGATTGTTATGTATGAATGTTGGTATGGATGATAGTACAGATCTATATAAGAATATTGTGAATAGATGATACTAGCAAGAGAAGTTCATGTAGAGTTAGACTAGCATAGCATCGTGCCTTAAGGCGAATTACTGGAACTTCCCGTACCATAATTAAAAATTCTAGGAATGAAAATAATCAAAAATTGTTTTAAATAATTTCAAAGAGATTATTCATGATAAATACATACTGTAAATTCATAAGTGTTTATTATATTGGGCGACGAGCGTACTCTACAAATAACTTATGTGTATGTTTACAAGAAATTTGTTCAATTTTTTTTTAATTAGATTTTTTTGATAATTTTTAAACTTTTTTAAGATTCTGAAAATTTGTTGAAAGTTCGAAATTTTTTGGAATTTTTGAAAAAAATCGATTTTTTTAATTTTTCGAGAATTTGAAAATTGTTGAAAAAATCCGATTTTTTTTTTGAAAATTTCGAAATATTCTCAAATTTTTGTAAGATTTTTTTTTAATTTTGATATTTTTCGAAATTTTACGAAAGTTTGAGTTTTTGAAAATGATGGAAAATTTCGAAAATTTGAGTTTTTGAAACTTTAATATTTTTTTAAGATTTTCAAAACTACGAATTTTTTATGAAACCATTTTTTGCACAAGCAAAAGGTTTTTGAATTAATCTAATCGGATGATCCATTCCCTCAAAACCTGCATAATCATTTTTGCATCCCTTGCCGCACCTCCGGAACGGCAAGATGTGTCTTTTGCAAAAACGCCTTGCAAAAATAGTTACTGCATTATATATAGTTGAGTAGACATATTGTGAACAAAATCAAATGATATGATTTTTAATTTCTATATTTTAGGAATTAGAGTAAACAAAGTGACCCGTGATTTAATGTTCTAATATGTTACACATACACTCTTGCAAATATATTTGTACTCTGTACAAATATATCTATACTCTGTACTTTTGTTAACTATGTGTTAAGATTGAATGACATAAAAAACTTTATGATAATGCATAAACTATTTTATATTTCATAAATGTAATATTTATGACCGGAAAAACTAAATTTAATAAAACCTCAAAACTCAGATGTGACTAAAATTATGGTTGACTAGAAAAAAACTAGAATAAATTGTGGATATACTGAATAAACTGGTTTTAAGATTTTTCTCAATTTTTATTTTAGTTGAATTTAATTTAGTTGAAGCACATTAAATAAGAAAACAAAATTAAAATCTAGCATGTACATAAAAATCAGCAGCAATATACATATTATTATTGAATACATTCTCTATTTGATATCTACAAAAGCATTTCTCTTTACTCTATTATAATTTCAATAATTATAAGTGAGTTTAATTGGATATTTTACTGTTGGAAATTAGCTATTTGAACAAGTATAATGGCTAAATATTCAAAACTTCTTTAAAATATCATAAAACTTTCACTCCCAATTCTGTAATTTTATATTAGAGTATGAAAACATATTAATATTGATAACCACATGTTGTTAATGTTGTGCCTCTTATAGCTATAATATTCAAGATAACATTAGAGAATCATTGAAACCGTGACACTAAATAAATAATGTCAAGTGCACCGAAATGCTTTACATATTATGAGCAAAAACGTATTTTCAGTGTAAAAACCACTTCAGAGAAAGCTTCGAAAGTTTCATAGTATCTGTATGGAAAGCGTATTAACTTCGCATTCGAAATTTAAAAATAAATTTTCATAGCGGAAACGTTGAATCCATATCGCAAAATGTTTCAGTTATTTCATAGAGAACTATAAACTCCAATACCGTCGACACATACACGACAAATGCTTTAAAAAGTTAAACTTTTAATAAAACTCATTACAGATACAACTTTATATGATACATTTCAAAAGAATAGTTACTAATGAAATGTTATATAAAATGTATCGCGTTTCGAAGTATACTTTATATGTAAGTATATAAATTTTTATTTTAATATAAATTAGTACCATAGACAATAGAGTATTAAATAAGTTAAAAAAGTGTGTCTGCTAATATAATTTTAGTTAGAAAAACAACAGTTTAATATAACATAGTTAGATCATTATTACTATATATGTGTTCATGCTAAAATAATTATAAGTGAATCTTGATCAGATAAACAACTCTGAAAACGTTAATTGAACCACGTATCTTTCTGTCGGTTCAATATTTTATTAGTGTTTCACAATAAGTAATTTTTAATAGAACTATGAGAAAATGGCTGGTTTGAAGAAGGCTTTGGTTGCTGTATAAAAGTACATCGATTAATTAGAGTTTCATCATGAAATTAAACTAGTAGGTTCTCTTGAAAAAAAGATATAGATCTGAAGAATATAAAAGTATGAATTAAGTCTTAAAATTATGAAAAATTCGTTCCAATAAATTATATGCAAATTTTTGAATCTAATTTTTGTTTTACTTTTCAATATTTTTAATAAAATAATTATTATTTAAATAATAATGTTACAAGTACAAAAACTTCACGATATATTATTTGAATATTCATAGTAAAATAGGTAGTTTGTTTCTTAACAATAATTTATTTTAATACTGATGGTATATTATTTTATTTTACTAATATTATATTTGTTCAAAATGCCACAATGTCTAAAAGGAATTAATAAATCAGCAAATTCCATATAAATACCTAATTAACTATTATTTAATTAACGATAAAACTAAAAAACCTAACTCACCAACAAAAGGTATTATATTTATAGTATCGTAAAAAATATCTTAAAACAAATAATTGAAGCATGAAATATTTGACTTTTATCAGTGTTTTGGTAAAAAATAAAATCTCAATAACAAAAAAAAAACAATTTCTATGTGTTGATTACCACAAACTTTCATATTCAGTGAAAATTATTATCAGAAAAGAACTTTCTATCTAATGTTTTTAAATGTCTAAACAGTTAAAATTTTTTATTTGTATTTTAAAATTGCTTCCATTAGTAAATATCAGGATAGTAATATCGTAGTATACAAAAATGTATGCTATAAGTTTGAACATCTAATTAAATTTTGATCATACCATATAGAACTAATTGTTGAACAATAAAACTGTACTAGGAAATTTTTATTTTATTTTTAAATTATCAATTTTTCAAAAATATGACTTGGCCTATATGTTTTGTTCGCTATAGATCGCGTATTTGAATAAATCATTTTAATCCAACGACAAGTTTTCACAATTTCAATGAAGCTAAAATTCCACTAACTTGTTATTAATTTGGACCAGTCTTTCATTGCATATTTTCATAAGATATAATTTAGATATAATGTTCTGTGCGCTATGAATCTTGGAGTTAATTTTATAAGCTATTTGTTTATGAGTAAATCATTTTAAAACAACAGCAAGTTTTCACAAATACAATGCAGCTGAAATGTCACTGACATGATATTAATTTTGGTTCAGTTTTTCATTGCATATTTTCAAAAGATAAAATTTCATAAGTAAATTTTTTAGAAGGCAAAATAAAATCTTGTAAAAAAGTTAATTTGAATTTTTAAGCGTATCAGCACAATATAAGTTATTCAGTATGTAAACGGTAGCGTTATTGGTATCTAAATTAGATAATCTAATGATACTCCTGCATAAATATACACAAAATATTACTGAAAAGTAATCTATTTATGATGACGTATAAAGCAAATAATAAAACAGCTGGATGATTCGAGTGGAGATCAATACAAAAATAATGCAATTTCGCTGCGCTCATCAACGTCGTAGGATATATAGTCTGAGAAACAAAGATGTACGAGCCACAAAAAAGTCTTACCTTGATGACTGTTATCTCTCCACCGTAGCTGAAGTTGCCCGCCGGACCGGGCGGCCCCCTCTCGCCGCGTTCGCCTTTCAGGCCGTTTAGTCCCGGCAATCCCGCGGGACCAGAAACACTTTTCCCGGGAATCCCCGCTTCGCCCTTCTCGCCCTGTGTCAAACGAACACAGTACACATTTTAAAAATAAATGCTTTGAGTGACAAACATCGACTTTGAGTGATTTGTTATGTATGTTTTATATACGTAGATTCTCAATATAAATGATTTGCTGCATACGAGAAAATTTCATTCAAGCTCAACTTTATTCATATGATGTACGATAATTATATATGAATATTTAATATTTCACTGAAAAAACGTCGACCATAGTAAAAAATAAATAATATTAGTGTCCATAAAAATAATATTTTAGTTTTCAACTAGTGGTGCTAGGTGCTAATTAGGGATATGCAGTAATTGGTGTGAATCAATAGGATCTTGAGCAATATTAATTTTTTTTGTCTCCATAATGGTGTTATAGCTACTGTCCCGCAGGCTGACGCCTTATACAGAACTGTGTAAGTCCGTCATTTACAACATAAAATATAAAATTCTACTATAACATAAAATAATGAAATAGCGTTATTGTTGCCGACTAATTTTAAATATTATATATCTTATTTCTTTTTGAATTTATCAATCCTTGATAATGTGTGACAATTTTTGAGATTCCTAAGTTGTTCAAATAGTTATGTGTTAATATAAAAAATCCCACCTGGACTTCGTTATAACTATTTCTTGGGGCTAGTTGTAACATACAAGAATTATAAACAGATTTATGTAAAGTTGATTGAGTGGGATGTATAGTTTGTGAAAGTCTTTATCTTTTATTTATACATTGATTTATGATGGAAATTTCAATAACAGGAGGCACTTTATATTTTATGTGTATTAGTCAAAAATTATTTTGGTTTAAGAATATAATTAGTTTCTTACTTCAATTTTCTTAAAAATTAGTAAGAAATAAATTATCAGAGGTATTACTATTGTTTTTTATCGATACTACTTGCCGATTTTTATTGAATTTGGTAGAATAATATTCAGAGCATCAATTCATCTTTAGTTCGTAGAAATATATTCAGTAGATCTCAACATATATTAATTAAAAAAAAACAGTTACATATGCTTCTCAAAATATAAATGACTTTCCTACCTTAATGCCAGAGTCACCCCTTGGACCAATGTCACCTCTTTCACCCTTTTCGCAAGAACCACAGTTATCTGCAACAAAGAAGTTTATAAATAATGATATAATATATAAATAATATTATATTAGAAAAATAATAAATAAATAATTCAGCTACTGCTAATCCGAGTACAAATTCTAATGGCAATATTTATAATTAAGTTTCTTGCTTTGCATAAAACTTCTGCCAACAAAATTACAGAATAAATATCTGTTATTGCAATTTATAAAGATTTCTAAAAGTATTTTTTGATGTTCGTAATGAAGACTATTCATTTTAAAGTTTTTGCAAACAATTTACTAACAAGTGCTTGCCTTTAAAATAATAATAATTAGTTTATTAAAATTATAAAATCGTGTTTCATATTTTAATTTTAATTTTTTTATAGTGCTAAGCCAAATACTGTCAAAATTAATTAATATATATTTGTAGTTGTTTAAAATTATATGTTAATAATATTTTGAACTAATTAATCAGATTCATATACCTAAAAAAATATTGTTTAAAAGTACCTATATAAAAAAAAGCAAAATGTATTTATAAATTTGTTGAAAGATTCAAAAATGTATTTTAAATGATTTCAATTAGAAAAATATGTATTGAAAAAATCCAGTTTATTTTAAAAAAAAACTGTCCTAGGTTTTTTTTACCAAATTACGAAATAAAAATTTTGTTCAAGTAAAATAATTGTAGATCAAAGAATTTTTAAACTTCATAATAGTTAATAATTTTGTTGCAAATTATTGTGTTGTTAATAAAATATCTTAGTATCTTAGTCGCTTTCGAAAAAAATTATATAGGTTGAAAATTTCAAAGTAACTATTCAATTTTATTATAATTTGCACATTTCTGTAAATTTCAAATTTGGGTGCACTTAATGAACACATATAAATGGAATTAAGAGTTTCAACAAGTTTACAAATTTCTCCTGATATGATTTAATTTATCATAAATCAAATTTCATTATTTTGTTATTAAAAACGTTTTCACTGTACAAATTAATAACATTGACTATTATATAATATGTTATTAAAAACGTTTTCACTGTATAAATTAATAACATTGACTATTATATAAATATACATAGTATAAAAAAAATAAAAAAAGGATAAATTAGTAAGTTATATCTAATGCATAATTGTTCATGTAACAAAGGACCGATTTATAAAATTACGAATTTACGAACACTTCCCTGAAAGATTGGGGCAATTATGTTGTGCCATAACCATGAAAACGTCGTATCATATTGATTAGTTGTAAGTGGAATTCTGTCTTAAGGCATTTAGGGCATCGTGCCTTAAGGCAAATTGCTGGAACTTCCCGTTCCAAAAATTATTATTTTTTTTTAAAACGATTAACATTTTTGAAAAAAAATTACTTATTAAGATTTTTGAGAAACTATAAATTTGACAAAAAATTACTTTTTTTTTGAAAAAAAAAATTGAAAAAAAAAATTAAAAAATTTTTTTTTTCAATCTTTTTTTTTTGAAAAAAAAAATGTTTTCTTTATTTTGACATATGTTGGAAGATCTGAACTTTTTTTCAAAGCAATCGTACTGCTTTAAATGCATAGAGACAAAATATAAAGCGCGTAAGCGCCGCGTCGCTGTCTAACGGGTAAACATTGGTGCGGAACCCATACATTATATACGCATATATCTAATGATCATTTTTGACCGCCAAATGGCTTTTTTTTTACTTTTTTCGTTATATCTCCGAAACCGCTAAACCTGTCCTTATAAAAATTTGATCAAATCTTCATCTTGTCAATACAAGTAAAATGTTTTTTTGAATTATTAAAATCGGACGCTCCGTTCTATTAAAAACTGAGGTACCGTTTTTGGCTCTTTTTGCCCCATATCTTCGGAACGGCTAGACCTACCACCGCCAAAAACTAATCAGCACGTCTCCTTATCAATACGGATCGAATGTTTTTTAAATTATTCAAATTGCTTCATCCGTGTTCCCGAAATCGTCGACGAAAATTTGTATCCGCACACACATACATACTACGCACACACACACACACACACACACACATACATCCATTTTTTCTAAGGTATGCCAAAATATTCAGAAACCTCTGAAACGTAAAGATATATAAAAATTTTCATTTTCGATTTTTTTGCGATTACCCTACGGGAAGTTAAAAAGTACATGAAGTATTTTAGAAACTAGTTGGTTTGGTACTTAGCCTTGAGGCAAGTTACATGAACTTCCCGATATGTGTAAATAATCGACTTAATCAATAAAAAATATATTAATTTATGAGTGGATTTATTACACATAATTGAAAACGAACGAACACGTTTACTAGGAGTATTTTCAAAAAGCAACTTTTCAAAAATCAACAATTATTATATTTAAACCAGTTTCGGCAAGATTTTAATGGTTTAGTATGTTTAGTAAGACCAAGTACTATATTGCTCTACAAAGTAAATCGTCTAATTTTAATTTGAGCTAACGTCAAAAAAACTACTCATTTTCTCAAACTTTGATGATTTTTTAACTTTGATTTGTCGTAAGGCCGTAATATTTCAGTAAGTTCTATAAGACCATGATATACATCGCCAAAGAAAGTTTCATAAAAATTGGCTTAAATTTTTTTTCAACAGTTAATTACAAGAAAACGGCTCGGTAGATTTTCACATAAAACTAATCAGTACCATTCCCAACTAATATCTTTCGAACAGTTTTTGATTTTTTAAAATCGGTTCGGTAGGATGAGCTTAAATGTGGACGAAAGGTTTAACACTTTTTTTCAAATTACAAAGAACGTCTTGGCAGATCGTTGCACAAAACTGACAAACGATAGTCCTCATCGAAATACATCAATTGGCTTTTAAATTTCTGAAATCGGTTCAGGCGTTTTTGAGCAAACGTCGATGAAACGTCTAATTTTGATAAATGCCAAAAAACGATATCAATTTTTGCAAACTTTGGCGAATTTTCAAAGCTAAACCAATTGTCGTAGGGCCGTAATATTTTAGTATGATCTAGAACAGGCATCGGCAACCTACGGCACGCGTGCCAAGCTTGGCACGCGATGGAGTTCTGAATGGCACTCTATAAAGTAATCAGGAAAATCGCAAATATCGAGTGATTTTTAAATAAGAAAAATGTTTAATTATAATTATTTTTCCAACGTAGCTCGCTAATGTAATTCAACCTACGTTGAAGTACTTAAAGATGAAGTTTTCAGAAGATGCAAAGACTTTGAAGCTTATGTGCCTATATTTTACTTCCTCATAAAACCAGATTAAATTGATCCATCAATAATAATACCGTTTGATTTGTTGATTTTCGAATGGTTAATCCATGATAATTTTGAAATGGAAATTATCGAACTAATATCTTCAGAATTATGGAAAACAAAAAAACTATGGACAAATCGACAGCCATATTAAATTGTTGAATGACATTGTCGGAAAAGAATTAATTGTTTAAGAAAATTGTATGCGCTCTCCTTTCAGCTTTTGGTTCCACATATCTCTGTGAACAAATTTTTTCTCACATGAAACATATTTTGAGTTCACAAAGAAACCGTTTAACAACTAAACATTCAGAATCTTGTGTGAAATTAAAAGTTACAAATTATACCCCGGATATTGAAATGTTAAGGAAAAATATGCGGACACAAGGTTCGCATTAAAGTTGTTTAGTTTATATTAGAAATTTATGTTATTTGTTAATAAATATATTTAAAAGATAAATTTGGTTATAATTCTTCTCCCCTAGGACCCAACTATATATTTCAAAATTAAGGCGGCACTCTAAATCATATTGGTAGAGTGGCTTGGCACACTACAGTTAAAAGCTTGCCGACCCCTGATCTAGAAGACTATAGTATCTACCGTCAAAAAAATAATAATAAAAATCGTCTAAAAAATTTTTTTTAACACTTTATTACAAGAAAACGGCCCGGCCGATCTTCACCAAAAACTAATCAGCACGATTCCCAATCAATATCTTTCGAACTGTTTTTGAATTTTCAAAATTCAAGAATTGCGGGCTAAAACGAAGACGAAAAATTTTTCACTTTTCTGCGATTTACAAAGAAACGTCTCGGCCGATCGTCACACAAAACTGACAAACGATAGTCCTCTAAGTCGAAATACATCGAATGGCTTTTAAATTTTTGAAATCGGCCCAGCCGTTTTCGAGAAAACGTCGATTTACGGCAAAAAATTTGTTCACATACACACACCACACACACACATACTTTTTCCAAATTTGGTCTCATTCGATTCAGAATGGGTTGAAATGTCGAGAAAACATAAAATTAGCGAATCGGATTTTTTTATGAAAACGTAAACTTCTCCTTCGAGAAGTTAATAAATTAATAATATAATTTTGAAACTTATCTTTTGATGATCTCAAGCAGAAGCATAAAGAAAACCAAATACGTCGTTGAAATAACAAATGAAGAAGTTTTGCAGATAGTATAAAAACCGAACATTGGTCATGATCTTAAAAGAAAATATTATAATCCTTATTTCAAAAACAGTGCTTTTACTCAGTGCAAAGGAAAATAATACTAATTATAGATTTGCGCAAATGGCATTATTTAATTTTTATTAGATTTTGGGCACGCTATTTTTGAACGAAAACTTTAGGTGATATATAAAATTTAAATAATTTATTAGATGGTTTAAAATTAAAATCTAGGTGTTTAACTATGACAAGCGATTTTTAACATTCTCTCTGTACGTTTTTATTTTAATATAAAATTTTGATGAACAATCGAAACACAAAGAAAGCTCTGTCAAAGGATTTATACCGCCATATTTTAATTTAATACTTTATGATTTGTAATATGAACAGTTTTAGTATAGGGGAGTTAGAAGCTATTTGAAACATGGAAAAACGAAAAATATGCCATTAATGTTGTCTTATAGAAATATTTTGTTATTATATAGTAATACAATCAGTAGATCTCAAATATTTATCCGTGGGTACTTATTAATCCTCGAATTTATAATATATAACTATATTATTATATATTTTGATTGTATAGTGTGAATGTTTGTAAAA